AGCAAATTAGTGGTTAAAAAGGGAAAAATATCAGAAAGAATTAAAATATTTGAGCATCTTCAAACATTTTACATAAGTTATTGACATATCAATTATTCTTACTATTCTCTACCAAAACTAAGTTAGCAGTTTTTAATGTTGCTTTATATACTTGAAAGTATTGGACTTAATATTAATGCCTTAGAATTAGATTACTGTGCCTTTCTTGTCCCAGTCATAATTCATCTGTTGGTGCTAGCAGAGGGGCCTACCTTCTAGGGATTTCCATTCAATCCCTGAGCAAACTCTAGAGTTGAGCTAACTGGGAAGTAATAAAAGGAGGAAGGGCTATTGGAGGATCAAAGAACAGTGCCTGCCACAGGTTGTCTATGTAATGGGGCATATTTAAATATCACGTATACAGTATGAATACTACTTTGAAGGGAAAAAAAACTACAAAAACACAAACTCAGTGGCCTCCCTGATGGATAATTATTAGACATCATTAAATAAATCCCTTGGCATACTTATCTTGGAGAAAGGTACATCAAGCTGGTGTGTGAATACCACCCCATCAACACCTGCAGGTCAGGACACCTCACAGTTTCACCTTTGAAGGGTGTTTATTTCTCAGTGTGATACATATATTATAGAATGTCTGTCCCCATCAGCTGCCCCAGGGATCACTGTTTTAGCTACTGTGGACATAAAACATGATGTTTTGAGGTGTGCCCTGCAGCCTGTAGCTTTTGTATGTTTGATACGGCCAATATTTTTGTCATATCATAGTAGATATATTATCTACATTTCATGAAAATTATCTAATCATTTATACATGATATAGCTTAAAAAGCAAAAGAGTTACTTATATCAAGAGAGACCTAATTTTTAGAGTCTGCAGAGACACATACTAAAGTATTGGCACTCTTTAGCCTTAGGGATTGGGATTTGGCAAGGAAAGAGAATTAAAGATACTTTCCTTTTTATTTTCTATACTACTATATTTTTTAAATTTCCCCAGTGAATACTTTTTACTTTGGTAACTAGGAATAAAATATGTTGGGGAGTCTGGGCCCAATTCTAGACCTACTAAATCAGAATCTCAAGGGATCAGGGCCTAGGTAACTGTCTTTATTAAAGTCTACAGAGGCCAGGTGTGGTGGCTCATGCCTGTAATCCCAGCACTTTGGGGGGCTGAGGTGGGAGAGGATCACTTGAGGCCAGGAGTTGGAAACCAGCCTGGGCAACGTAGTGAGACCCTGTCTTTACAAAAAACCAAAGTCTACAGAGATGATTCTGATATACAGCCAGGTGTGAGAACCATAGATTACTATCTCAAGACATGCTTTGAGGACAAATTATTTTATGCTTTTTGTATTATTTTCATTTCTGTAACAAGACTGATGTCTTTTGGGAAAAATGACACCAACATTGCATCAAAAACCAAAGATTGTAGGTAAGATGTACATAATTAATAACATGTCTCATGCTGACATCCTGTCATACTCAGTACCTCTGATTTAATGTTTCAGAGGGGTCTTCTGCAACACCATTGTGGAGATACAGAATCCATACATTTTTAATTTTACTTTTTTCTTTCTGAAATTTTTACAAAACTTTATGTTCAAAATTTTTAAAAAGATAGCAAAACAAAAAGACAACAGTATTTTAAATGGTAGAGATCAGAAGGTAGCAATTACTACCAATGCAGTTTGGCCTTTAAAATTGTTTGTAAAATATGTAGTACCTTTTAATCAGTAGAATGTATTATATAATTCATAGCTAGAATGCTATGGTAAGAATTTTAAAAATAAAGATCAGATTTGTTTCTGAAATAAGGATTCTCATTGGTTTATTTAAAAATAACAAAATAAAAAACATTAAAAATTTTAAAATTGTAATGTGTAGAAACTAATACCACATACTACATAATTTGAATATATAATTCAAAACAGCTATTATTCATTTATTCAACACATGCCTTTCTAGATGTTCTAGGATTCTGTAACAAAAGTACTGATCAAGGTTGCCCAAACCTTTTAATGCAAAGTTTTTGTTCTCTTTTGTTTTGAATTAATGAAGTTTTACATTAATATGTATTTCCATAAAGTATATTAAACTCAGCTATGTTAATTATAGCTATAAAACATTAGTTCATTTTACATTGCTTTGCTTATTATTTGTCTTTTAAAGTGCTGTGTAATTTTCATGCTGAATAAAGGCTGATTATTTATTGCAGTTCTAAAAATGTATTTATAAAAAGAACAAAATAAGTTTTGATGCTGCATTGCATGATTAAGGCTTTCTGCATATAATTTATGTTACTGTCTTGAGCATGAATCTGGAGATTTTAGATAGCCTTAATATTATCTTGGTGTGCTTTCAAAGTTAATAATACAAAACATCTAAGTATATTTGAACATTAAAATGCATGATAATATCTTTCTGCATATAGTTTATATTATTTTCTTGAGTGTAGATACAAAGATTAATCATATATCCTAAAATGAAATGTACTATTTTGGAGTTCTTTCAAGGTAAAGTATATTATAATGTGAAATATTTAAGTATATTTTATTTAAGCTGGATAAATAAAACTGTTCATAGATTTTAAATATATAACTATAACTGTAGTACTTCATTCATGCATTCATTTTTAAATGTTATATTTCTTCATAAGTTTCATTCTTAACAAGCTCAAGTATGAGTCAAATTTTAACACATGGGAAATGTATTGACACAGTGAACTTTTGAAGTTGTTATTACAGAAAATAAGATTCACCATTGTGAACTAATTGGCTTCTTAGTCATCTGAGTGCACACTCAGTTTGAGGATGGGGTCCAGGGCCAGTGCTAGTCTATAATGTGACTTTTGTGCAAAGCAGAAATACATACCCATCTTTTTGGGTGGACACAGATTTGTACCAGGGTGGACAGCTTAGCAGAATGCTGGGTAGATTTTAGTCCCCAGTTGGTCAGGTGCCAAGTAAGAACTTTGAGAATATCAATCATTATTCTATGTGTAACACACACTCTTCCTAGCTTTCCCATATAGATTCTAACATTATCACAAGAGAAATACAAGGCAGTCATCACAGGTCCTCATGCTGAGACTGGAATTAGGGCTGGACCTGGGAAGAGAACGGATATAGGCGCCTTCTCTATTTCAATACCAGCTGGCCAGGCTGACAATGGATCTACCAATGACACATCAGTGTTCACAAACACATATTTTTGTTGCATGTTACCCTTTTATAATTTATTTTTGCCTTCTGGGCTGTCATTAATATTTGTTTCATCTTGATTTTTCCTGCATAAAATGGTCACATGGTGTAATTTATCTTACTTCACAAGTATGGCCTTAGCTGTGGCTGTGACATCTCATGCACTTTTCACATTTGCAGGGTTTATTTCAGTCTGTAAATCATAGGTGCTGCTCCATTTAGAGGTATAGGGGGTTGTATTGCCTGGAGTCAGAGTGTTGCAGTTCCACTCTGGCTCCAGACCTATAAAATAATCCCTAAAACAGGTTTGTATAGAAGTTAATCAGTGGAATTCATAAACTTTCAACAGGTAAAGTCACTTATTCGGAAATACATTAAAATAGATTGAACATCAGTGTCATTTGTATCATTTCTCACCAGGGCTTAACTATTGCCATGAAGGAATGTGCTAATCTTTACAACTAACCTTGGTTTATAACTTTGTGCAAAGCCTTGCTAGAGAGCTAGTCATCACCCTAAGCTCACTACAGACTGTGACTGTTTGCTGCTTTTTAAAGTGAGATAGCAGCAGCTTTTTTCTGACTTCCTTTGTTTTCCAAAAAGTGGTTCTTCCTTTCTTATTTTGCATCTCCAATGATTCCCCACCTTTTCTTTCTTTCTTTCTTTCTTTCTTTCTTACCTAGGTACATTTCTTTGTGAGATAAGTGAGGCAACCAATATCTGCCTTCCATCAATCAGAAGAAAGTCTTTTACCATTACAAAACTCACTTTAAAGTTTCCACTTTTTGTTGGCTTTTTGGCCACATAAACGGTTTTACTGATATATATAAACACTCAAGTCTCTTCAGTTGCTTATGGAACACATTTTATAACTTTTTATCTGGTTCCCCTAAGTTCCTTTTGGATTTAGACTTCTTTTAGAATATGGTTGAGTTATACAGTTTCAAGTTACAATATCCTGTATATGAGAATAGAAATAGATCAAATTAAATGGTTTCATCAAACACATATATGAACATATTAAATATATACATATACATGTGTTTTATATTTTTATTCTTACAAAAAAAAAAGACCTAAACATATTAAAACATCCAGAAGTGATGCAGGCATAGTAAGGTATAACAAATCAGTTTTCCATAGTGAAAGAAAAGTACCTGATTATTATAAGGGCTAACTAGAAGATTGTGGGATGTTTATGATTTTTAAAAAACTTTAAAGTTTGCAAGTCATTTGAATTAAATCAAAATCCAATAATATATTATTTTACATAAGTATTCTTAATTATAAACTGACAAATCTTCTTAAAGAATAGGTTCTTAATTCTGAAGTACTCCTAGCTAACATTTATTGAATGTGTATTGCATGCTAGAGACTGTCCTAAATGAACTATATGTAGTAACACACTTCACTTAATTCTCACCAAAGCCCAGTGATGTGTTGATACTAACAAGTGGCAGAGCTAGAATTTTAACTCAGAGCTCACAGTCTTAACTACTTCGCTTTACTACTTCACAAATAAGCAGTTTAACTTTGCATACTCTTTCCTCAAAGTGACTATAACCTAGTAAAAATGTTAGTTTTCTTATGTTTTTATTTCATGTTATGAATTTTTATTGCAGTACAACCAACATACGTGTTCATTGTATTTCTAAATGTGGGCTGCCATATTCTTTAGACAGTGGGGCCATTATTTGACTAAAGTTAATATCTTTGAAATGCTTTTTCCTCTTCGATTGGTGATTTTTAAAATATCCCTTGTATTTATTCCTCACTGCGCACCATTCTGTGGTGTAGATTTCCTTGCTGAAACAGAATCTGGAGATTCAGCTTTCCCAGTCTCAGACTTCTTTGCAGCAACTGCAAGCCCAGTTCACACAAGAACGACAGCGGCTTACACAAGAGCTTGAAGAATTAGAAGAACAACATCAACAAAGACATAAATCCTTAAAAGAAGCACATGTCCTTGCATTTCAAACTATGGAAGAAGAAAAGGAAAAGGAACAAAGAGTAAGTTTAATGTGACATATGCTCCAAAGTAATCCAATATCCTAAGAATAGTTAGCCTTGAAATTCTTAAGAATACATTTCTTGTTCCAAAAAATTACATATTGTTTTATTTAAATGTGTTTTCTAGGATGTGACTTCTTGATGAGTCACAGTGATTAAACATATATGCTAATTATACACTATAGCAGACAAATTAGACTAGAGCCAACATTTCTTTCCCATCATAATGCTAAGTTCATGATGAGACTCATATACCATGTGGCTTTTTATATAGTTCATAGTGATGAAATAAATTCAGTTAAATCTTTTAACATCATCTTACTGAGCTGCAACCGTTCTAATTATTTAATACTATTTTGTATGTATAATAGTCTTTCATTGACTTTTTAATTTTTCTTTTTCATTCTGGGTCACAAAAAAGAAATATATCCAAGGAATTTATATTTTTTTATTTCAAATTTTTTCCTTCACATTCTTCCTTTTCTATGTACAAAATTCACAATTACGTGAAATTAGAGACATTTTAAAATAGTATAATTCCATTGTATATAACCCTAAAGGCTATGTAGTAATGAAACTAATGCAGTCAGAAGACATTTAAATCAGATAGATATATTATTGGATTAGTCATATGCCAGAGTCTTCACATATCCATTTCTTGGCTCTGTAGGAAAATGTTTGACATAGTCTTAGTGTGCTTCATTTTGGTTTTAGTTCATTTCTAAACACTGTATTTTTCAATTGCTCCCAAGGACCATATTATAATTAAGATAAAGATTTGATGGAAGAATACACTTTTTCTAACAATAATTTTCACCATATTTAATGATTACACAGAAAGAGTGTTTCTTAATCCTTTTATTGGATTCAGGCACTATTATAAGAGGTATGTTGTAAAGAAATGAGTAAAACAAAAAAAGTCATGTTCTTTTTAAAACAATTAACTTTCCCCCATACAAGTTGTAGTCTGTTGATCTTATCTAGAAAGTCAAGGAAGTTTTTTTGGTTAAAAATTAGGCCTGATTGCATTGCTAAATAATCTACTTATTGGATACAATTTATGAACTGGAATAGCACATGAGCTTTCATATTAGTATTTTAATTTTGCACATTAGTCTTTTATCATTTTAAAAAGAACTTTATTCATTTTTAAAAAGAAATCAGAACCTGCAATTTTACTGTAATGTCCTTAGGTAGCCAGCTACCTAAGTAACATTGTCTAAACTAAAAGTCCTTTATTTTATTTGTAATTTTTAAAAACCATGCTTTATTTTTCAGAAATAAAATACTTTTAAAACAGTGAGCATAAGTAGCCAAATAATAATTTTTAAAAACAGCATTTTAGAGTAGTGATTAAAGAAAGATAGCCTTAGTTACAACATCATATTTTTCTCAGAATCATTTCATGTTATAAATTATAGTTCAAAAAACACAAAACCTTACTATCACAGTTTAATCTCTTACCTTAAAGTGCCTCGAGCTTTAATTTTTTTTTTTTCCCCTGTGGCTGTATATCTTCTTTTAGTCATAGCCACATATAGTCTCTTCTCTCTGGCTTGGCTTTTTAAACTAATCACATGAAAGCCTTTCATATACTATTCCCACTACCTATTCTCAGAGTTTTTGCTGCTTCTCACAAATACAGGTGCAAAGAATGGCTGTAGAAAACACATACAAAAGATTCAATAGGGTTGGAGTTATAAAAGTCCTTGTAGCTTTTTTCCTAATCAGAAAGAGATCTTTTCTTGGTAATGCCTTCCTCTTCCTCTTTCCCAAGATCGTGTGCTCAGAAGAATTATTTATTAATTTTAGGTAGTTTACACCACTTAGCAGCTTTAGAAAATGATTATATTTGAAAACTGCCTTAGGTATAGGGTCTACATCTCTAGTTCAAGCAAAATGTATTGAATCAAACTGGTTTCATGATGATTTATTTATTCTACTGAAATGACCCTACTAATTTTCTTTCTAACAGTGATTATCTCATATCTAGTTTTCTTGAAAATGAAGTAAATACACGTGTATTTCTTAAATAATAACTGAGTTTTAGGAACTACTTTCTATTTTTTTTTTTAATATTGTCCCCTAGAGTCTAAACTATTATCTCTTTGGTTTGCATTTCCTTCCTATATTCTAGCATAATAATTTGAATTTGTTTCTCCTCTTCTAGGCTCTTGAAAATCATTTACATCAGAAACATTCTGCAGAGCTTCTGTCTTTGAAAGATGCACACAGAGAGTCAATGGAGGGCTTCCGGGTAGAAATGGAACAGGAACTTCAGACTCTTCGGTTTGAATTAGAAGATGAAGGAAAGGCTATGCTTGGTATTGTGAAAGGATTATAATCTTGTCATATTTATTAGTATATTCTTCTACTTAAAAATTCAATGCAAAATCACAAAGTTTTATTTTAAAAGTTTGAAACATCAAGATGAATATCTTAAGTGTGTTGCATATTTTATTTGAAGTTACCAGATGAAGAGGCGAGTAAGGTGGAGCAGAATGGGTAGAACACAAACAATAGAGTTCCCCTTGGCTCTCTTGGTACTCTGGGTATGCAAGCAACACCATAGGTGCTTCCATTTGTCCTTGTGGGACTAGGTAGAGTCACCCCCTTCTTGAATGTTTTCCCCCTAGATTCATGATAGTATACTGTCCATACTGTACTTCTACTTTTCTGACTTCTAGCAGTTAATCTCATTTCCCAGTCCTATTTCTACATACATCTGTTAAATATTGCTATTTCCCAGGATTCAGCCCTGCCTTAGTTTGTTTTCTATTGCTATAACAGAATACCACAGACCAGGTAATCTATAAAAGAAATAGTTTTATGTAGCTCGTGGTTCTGGAAGCCAGGAAGTCCAAGATTGGTGGCCACATCTGGTGAAGGCTTCATGCTGCTTCATAGCATGGCAGGAAAGTGGAAGGGGAGAGGGCATGAGTGCTAGAGAGAAAAAGGGGCTGAACTCCCGCACTAGCTAGCCAGCCCATTCCTGCAAGAAAGGCATTCATCCTTCTTAATGACCTAATCGCCTCTTTTAAGGCCACATCCCCCAACACCAGGACAATGGCAATCAAATTTCAACATGCATCTCAGAAGGGACAACTTATATTGAAGCCATAGAAAACCCCTAGCCTTCTGATCTGCTTTTTTAGTCTTTAGCCCTTTCCTGATTGATTTGACTCCACATCTATAGCTCCAGCTACCATCTGTGTGCTGTGACTCAAATATGCACTTCTAGACCAAAGTTCTTTTCTTGTACATTGGATTTATATTTCTTACTGCACGTTATACAGATATTCTAACTTACACTCAACATTTTAAAATATCAGCTCACTATCTTCTTATAGTCCAAAATGTGTTTATATTCCTGTACCTCCTACTTTAATTAATGGTATCACTATTTACCCAGTTGCTAAAACAAGGAAAATGGGAGTCACACTCAACTTTTTCTCTCTCACTGCCATATCCTGTTTGTTCCACTTTGTAGCTATTTCTTATCTGGGTTTCCTCTTTAGTCCTCTGCCATACTTAGTTTGTGTTCATACCATTTCTTACCTGGATTACTGCCAGAACTTTCTTGCATATCTCCTTTCCTATAGCACATCCTTCAGACTCCAGTCAATGCAAACTTCAGCATGCTCAAATCTCACCGTGTGACTTCCTACTTTAAATGCTTCAGTGATTCCCAATGTCCTACCTCAGTCCTACCTTCTTCCACTGAAGAAGCCCTTGATACCAGGGGAGACTGAACTTATGCTTCACATAGAGGTCTCAGGAGGAGCCTGAATTGTCTAGCTATACAAGCACAGCATTTCTTTGAAGTCTCATGTTTTAGCTTTAAAATTTATAATTTATATTTTATTCACTTATATCTATTTATTTTAATATAAAAAACAGCTTTTCCAAAAATCTTTAAGTAAAATGCATATTTGAGAATATGACCATGTGTGATTTCCAGGTTCCCTCAGGCACACTGCCACACATATCCCAATTTGAGAACCATGAGCCTAAGGTTAAAGTAAAAAGCATTTTGTGCTAAAACTTTCTCAGACTCTCAGACTGGGTTCCATTTTCTTTCAAATGACCATGTGCACGGTGGCCTCCTGCAGTACCAAAGCTCTTATAGTTTGCCGGACAGACTGGGTTCTTTCTGCTTTTGCATATGGTATCCCTTCTTCCTGAATGCTTTTTTCTTTACTTGAAGAACCGCTACTTGGTCTCTTAGACAGAGTTACTGTGGCAGTTCCTTTGTGACAGCTTCCCCAATTTCTCTCTCCTAGGAAATTTGGGTTTTTCCACCACTGTTCTTTCATCATATCTAACATTCATCTCTGATATCCCACTTAATTCCTTGGCATAATGTTTTCCCCTCTAGCCTATGCAGTTATAAGGACAGTGTCATATTTTATTCTTCCTTAGAATAGTTACCTGGCATTCAATAAATGTTCGTGGGTTGTATGAGATAATCAATCCCAAACTGAAATGAAAGTGATGACCTTCCAACCACTAGATGCATTTACCAGCCAGTGCTTAACATCTTTCAGGGATATTACAAAAGAATTTTTACTTGGATGGGAAGTTGTCTCCTAAATATTTCAACTCTAAAATTTTATTATTCTAATGGTGAAAGAGAAGAGTTACCATTTTCTCTCCATTAGCACTTTACCTGCAAACTACAAATGTACACAGAAATACCTTGATTCATTAACCATTTGAAATTGTTTCATATTCTCATTAAAGCTAGATGAACTTTAAATTCATGATACTATGTGATAGTCCATAGTGTTTGAATTCATGATCATTTACAGTAATCTATTAATAATTTAATGGGCATATACATGTGTTATAATTATAAAACTAATATTCTTTGACTTTTATAATTTTGATCTAAAGTATCAATATTTCAATAATGAATATTGAATGAATATTCAATAATGAATATTTCAATAATATTATCAATAATGAAATTTGCAAAACTTATTTTTTTCCTTTCTTTCCAGCTTCCCTACGCTCAGAACTAAACCATCAACATGCAGCTGCAATTGATTTGTTACGGCACAGTCATCATCAAGAACTGGCAGCTGCTAAAATGGAACTGGAGAGAAGCATAGACATCAGCAGAAGACAGGTAAAATAAGAAAATTCTGTTCTGTGATGATTTCTTTCATGTGGATAGATTGAGTGTTCACAATTATTTTGTAGTAACTATTATTTTCACTAGCTATTGAAGAGTTTTATTTTTAAAAGGAAATAAGTAGACTTTTGTATATTGGTCATAAAATTATATTTTATTTTATGACATTTTAATTAAATGTTTTGAACTTCATTTGCATCTTGGAAAAGTGAACAATAAAACATAAATAATAATAAGAGGAATGCACTGTCCAGTAGAAATATCCATGGTGATTGACCTATTCTATACCTGTGTTACCTACTATGGTAGTCAGTAGCCATGTGGGCCAAATATGTTGAGTGTGACCAAGAAACTGCATATTCATTTTTACTTTATTTTAATTAATTCAAAGTTGAGTCCAGCTGGACTATATTGGGTAGTCCAGCTATAAAAGAAGCAGGTCCTTAGGAAGAAAAAAGATAGTTCATATTTCTATATCATTCTAGCATGAGTACTATTTACACTTTTTAAACTTTGCTCTTTGGCCAAGTGTTCTCTAATTAGATAATGTGTGAGCTAGAATGTATGTATGTCTGGATGGATGGATTTTTTAAGCATAGTGCAATTAAAGCTGTTATTTATTAGTTTATTAAACTTAACTTTCACTTTGTTAGTTTTTACCTATGTTAAATGATCAGCCTAAGTCTTCTGTTCATTGCTAGAAAGTTTTAAATGAGCCACCTTGTAACCATGGATGGAAGTTATGTTCTCTTCAGCCAGGCTTACACTGAAATTGACAATGTCTAGGCCTGCAGAGCTCAGGAAACAAAAGTGACTTTTAAGGAAAATGGAATTAAAAGTAAAAAAAAGTGACTTAGGAAAATGGAAGGGAGCTTATTTGTCATATAAGAAAACTGCTATACCAGAACTAAATACACAGGGTCTGCTTTCTAAGCCATGAAGGGTGGGGTATGTGTGTGTTTTGGGAGGGCCTCTATATATGCAGATTCTTCTTAGATTAAAGGACAATGGTACCAACATTTTACTGCAAGACCATATCAAACTATATAATCTCAGCTGTACCACTGATTATAAATCATCTTTGAGTACTGGTTTCTTCATCTGTAAAATAAGAGAGATGTGTTTTTATGATCTTTTGGATCCCTTGTAATGCTGGCATTATTGAAGCTATATTATATGAACACTTCTTACAGGTATGGAAAGAGAAGAGACCTTGAGGTTATCTCATTTCAGCAGTTTACTTTTGAAGCAATGTCATAATAATTATATTTGACATTCTTAGTAATTCATTTTCTTTCCTTCAGATGAACACAAATAAACAGAGCAGATATGTAGAAAACTTTTAAGAAATTACTTGTATTTTATAGAGTAAGGAGCACATGTGTAGAATAACAGATCTACAAGAAGAATTAAGACACAGAGAGCATCACATCTCTGACTTGGATAAGGAGGTACAGCACCTTCATGAGAATATAAGTGCCCTAACCAAAGAACTGGAATTTAAGGGGAAAGAGATTCTCAGAATACGAAGTGAATCTAACCAACAGATAAGGTATGCTATTCATTACAACAGAAAGAATATGCAGTGTTATGTGAAAAACTGTTCCCATAATATTTAGCAAATTGTTGCCTATTTTTGTGACTAGACTGCTCTTCCAGTAAGATATTGAAGACCACTTTTTAGTTTAATGACTATGTTATAATCCAGAACATAGAAGAAATGTTTATATTTTGAATGATATATATATATTCATGAACTTTGGAAACTGCACATAATTAACTAAAATCTCTTACAAATGTTACTTGAAAAAGCATTAAAGGAGACAACTTTAATACAAGCTAGAAGATTATAGCAAAGTAAGTAGCTTAATTTAGGCTGTAAACATTAATTTTCAATGTATTATACCAAAACCATTTCAAATCTGGTAGAATATAGAAAGTTTTGAAAGCTTGACCTCAGAATAACATTTTCTTAACTAAAAATAAATTAAACAGGTTGCATGAACAAGATTTAAACAAGAGACTTGAGAAAGAGTTGGATGTCATGACAGCAGACCACCTCAGAGAGAAAAATATCATGCGGGCAGATTTTAATAAGACTAACGAGCTACTCAAGGAAATAAATGCAGCTTTACAAGTGTCGTAAGTTACATTATATTCAAGAAAATTCATATATAGATAATAAACTGAGGAGCACTGTGTTTAACCTCAGATTAGCTATTTTGATTCTATTAAAAATGATAGTTATGAAAGAAAACTTTAGTGCTATATTACAGATGGTAATTGCAGTGTGATATGTTCTTTAATTAGGATCTGGCAGTCAAATGATGATTTTATCAGCTGCTACTGCTACAAATCTACTAGGATAATACTACATAATTTCTCTCAGGATCATGAACCGTCATGCCATGGTGAAAACTCAAAATATGTCCATTGTATAATGTTAAGGAAAAAACATATTTTGAACAACAGAAATATTATACATACACATGTACATACTAATAATATATATTTTATTAAAAAGGTCAAAATAAAAAATACAAAGTTTTGAATAATAGTAGTTCTCTAAGAGAATGGATTGGGAGATATTGGAGGTGAGAAAGAACAAAGACTTTTTATTTTCTATACTCAGGTATTTGATCTCTAAAATAAGCATTTAATTATTTTATTATTTTAAAAATCAATGAAGGAAAAACATTACAAGTGAAATTGCTGGTCATACGTAGTAACACCAATATTGTTAAAGCCAAAATTTCTAATTCTTACTTAAATTCTTTAAAAATATGTAATAATTTCTCTCTTTCCTAGACACTTAAAACTGCTGTTACCAATGCAGCTTGTATTCAGTCCATCTCTGTGCCCTAAACCCTGATACAATATAACTCATCTCAGAATTAATCTATTCTAAACTGCTGCTAATGGTTTATTCACCTTTAGTCTATCCTCTCCCGGTCAATTTAAAAAGATTCATTTAAAAATACATATACATATGTACACACATACTTCAATAAAGTCACAATTAGTGACTAATCCCTTTACCCTCAGTGTCAAGTCAAATGTAAACGCTTAGCTCCAATGTGCCTTATTCTACATCATCCAACAACAACCTTTATTCCCTATCTGTCTTTTTATCAGCCAAGCTGACCTTCATTTCCTTCTAAGATTCTTCTGTGTTGTCAACTACATTCTAGAATAACCTCCGACATTATTGATTACCTTCCTCAAATCTAAAAATCATTTCTTCCTATTTCATCCATGTAATAGGTCAGTCTCACAGAAAATATTGTTACATACATAGCCCCCCACACACACACACTCTCTCTCACACACACACACACACACACACACACACACACACATTAAGCCACAACAGAACAGCCCCCAGTTGTTGGCATTTATTTGAGTGTCCTCTGAGGTGAGGTGCTTTTTTCTGATGGACATATTCAGAATCTTCATATTAGCAGGCACTCAGTGAATGTTTCATGAATTAATTTTATGAAGATTCCCCATCGGCTGGGCATGGTGGCTCATGCCTGTAATCCTAGCACTCTGGGAGGCCAAGGCAAGGAGGATTGCTTGAGATCAGGAGTTTGAGACCAGCCTGGGAAGAGCGAGACCTATCTCTACTCAAAATAGAAAAATTGGCCAGGCGTGGTGGCATGCGCCTATAAATCCCAACTACTTGGAGGCTGAGGCAGGAGGATTGCTTGAGCCCAGGAGTTTGAGGTTGCTGTGAGCTAGACTGACACCCTGGCACTCTAGCCCAGGTAACAGAGCGAGACTCTGTCTCAAAAAAAAAAAAAAAGATTCCCCATCTCATTTACCACTTCATAGCTGCCCTTGAAATGCTGAGAAGACTCATGTTAATTTTCTAACCACTGTGATTTTGGTGTTTGCTGTTATTAGAGGTAATTTTTAAATCCTGTTCAGCCACAGTACGAGCTCAGGTATCTGCCTTGTATAAGAAAGACCTCATAACCTCATGTATTTTGCAGAAATGAGATATAATAAACCTCAGTGCCTCGGCTGTCATTTCCCCTGGCCTCAGTGTTATTCATCAGGCAGAGGCTGAAACCCTGGCATCCCCCACTTCATACTCTGAAAAAACATGCTCACAAGAAGAATAACCTGTTTGTCCGTGTGTCCTGTCTCCTTAGGAATGTTACTTTACAAAGAATAAAGGTTGTGTCTTTGTTTTTACTTTATTCTTTTGTATATGGTTTTGCACATTGTGAATTTTCAGTAGATAGTATGAATAATAACTTAGTTCTTCTGTATTATGATCATTTTTAATAATTGAAGAATTAGTTTTGCAGATAAGTAAAATATTTATCTGCTTTTCTAGACCCACCTTTCATTTTATATTTTAACTTGGGTCCAAGCTAACTGTATTTCTTTTTTCACCAGAAACCTGCTGCAGTCATAAAATTAGCCTCTAGATTTAGGTGTTTACTCTTTTAGATAAAAACAAAACACACATAAAATTTATTCTCAACCAGTGCTTCCAAAAGATTGTCTGCGATAATGAAAATGTTCTGTATCCACTCTGTCTAGTACATAAGCTAAATAAGCTACCACAGATGGCTATTGAAACTTGAACTGTGACTAGTGGAGTTCAGGAACTGGATTTTAAAATTTCACTTAATTTCAATTCATTTAAATGTAAATAGCCCCATACAGACTAGTGGCTACCCTACTGGAAAGCAGTTTTAGACTGCTGGATATTTCTGGCCCATACCCTTAAATGCAGCCAGTTTGGATCTGCAGAATGGTTTGGATTTAGACAGAGGTGGTGAGAGTCTATTCCAGCATGTGAAGCTGGGGGGAACAATATCTGAACTATTCCCAGCTGTTCCCAAGAACTAGAGTACCCCACTGAAGTTCCAAATCAACTGCACCCAGGCTTTAAAACCAAAAAAGTCCTGTGGTTTCTTAGAAGGTAGTAGTGGAGGGACTAAGGAACATGGCTCAGCCTGCCTGGCCAAAGCCGGGAGCCAAGGAAGCTCTGGAGCAGCTGGAAGCTTCTTGCTTCTGATCCTGCCCTAGATACCGGTAGACTCCAGGGAAGCAAATCTAAAGGATAGAAAATGTCCTTTAAGTATTGTAGAAATGGTGAGAAGAGTCTACATCTCTTATGGAGTGATTATTAGAAATCCTCAAGTGCTGGAAACTAAAGTCTTCTTAGATTTTCAGGGAGTTCTATAGAAATTTTATTTTCTTTGGTGATACAGTATCTTAGTAAAAACCTCATATCTAATAAAAATGTCATGGTTTTCATTTGTTTTAGAAACAAATGAGAGAATGGGCTATTTGATTTTATCCAAATGATTCGTAAAGAAAGTTTAAGCTAATGGAAATATAGTCTAGGGTCATGGCAGATCATTCTTATGCAAAAAAGATGGCTCACAGATTATTATTGATTGTTTAGGTTTAATATACTTTAAATTCTTATTCTGCTGAACAAAAAGATCATTTCTTCTTGAGAGAAATGTTGAGTTTCTGTACTTGGATTTTAAATAGGTCAGTAATCCCTAATTGAGAACAAGCACTCCACCACCTCAGAATTACTGTTTCTTTAAAAGTTTTAAATCCTTTCATCTGTAATATCCTAATAATTTTTGTTGTTGTTTTTGTTTGATTTTTAATTTACCATTCAGGTTATTTTCATAAGCTTTGTGAGGTAAGGAAGTAGTAAGTAAGTAGTCTTGTCACAAGTCAGAGTCTGTGCTCATAATGTAGGGGGAAAGAAAAGTTCAGTGTTAAAAGGTTGCAATTACTTTATTTCCTTTCCATAATACAGGATGATATAATAGAGTTTTTCATCTTTGTACATTAAAGTTCCAGAATATATGTGTACCTAACAGTACTGCTATTTGGCTCTGAAATCTCAAATTAACTGATTTTTTTTTGTCCTTTTTTTTTTTTTTTTTTTTTTAACAGCATAGGAGGGACTATACCTTGGAAGCTTTCAATACTGTTTCTTAGGCATTTGTAATTTAGGCCTGTGTTGTCCATGAACCATAGACCTTGACCTATATATTCTCAGGGCCAGAAAACAAAATCAAATCAGGGCATGCATGCCTGGTGAGAATCCATCAGTGACCCTAATTAGTAATTTTATGTGTTCTACTTCTCCTTTCTGTTCTTTCTGTTACTTTTAATGGAAATCTGTATTTTGAATAAAAGGCTACATGTACTTGTGTGGTACTCATGAGGCAGTGTTTCCCAGGCTTTAATCATTCCTATAACTTTGGAAATTTGGTCATTTCCAGCTATTTATGATAAATTTTTCTTAATATTTTTTAACTGACTCATATTAACTTAAACATTTTCATAGGAAAACTTTATATCACTACAGCAAAACCTTTATCACTACTAAAAATCTTATCCCTTCTTCTGAATAGAAGCTAAGCTATAATTATATAAATGTAAATTCTTTGAAAATAAAACACAAGATTCTAGCTAGCATTGATGCTCAAAGTGCACGTGAATGTTGTAAAATAGGGTAATAAACATATGCTACGAAGTCCATTTAAGATACATAGAACCAAACAGACTTTCTCCTTCTTGTGATCAGAAATATTAAAGAAGAACAAACTTAAAAATCACGTGTATCACCAGTTGTTCACACCTGGTGTTTTGAGAAGCAGTGCTGATACAGAGAGCTGCCTAGGGCAACTGAAGAAAGGGAAAATGTTGAATAGTGTTGGCTTTCTTAAAAGGGATATCGGAATGGTACCAAGTTTTCTTCCTATGAGAATTTTGGATTATTGAAATATATTTGCAACTTAAATCTATATCATACTACTTGTTCTCTCCTTTAATGCTTTCCCATTTGTGTTTATAAGGATCATGTTTCTTCAATTTAATCAATTATTTTTCCTCTTTTATATCCAGTTATCTTTTTAATTAAATATTTTTGGAGATGTAAAGATATTTTGTGGAGAGGATTAACTGATAATAATTCTGTAGGTGAAGAATGTTTAAGCTAAATAAAAACACTAGAATTTGGATTCAGAGCATACCTTTATTATGCAAAAATGGTGGTTCAGAGATTATAACTAATTGCTTTAGATTCACTTTACATAATTTTCTTTGTACTAGAACAAAAAGAAATAATAGTTTTAAATAAGGCTTTACATTTAGTTGTTTAGCTACCACTTATACCAAGTATTCTTGATCAGCTGCAGATAGCAGTTAAAAAATCTTGTACTTTGCTTTTAATGATAAAAGAAAGGACTCTAGTGACATCTTGTGGCATGTCCAGCATAAAACCTAAATGCCTTTTTCCTTGATAAGATCAGTATTTCTCAATCTTCTTAAAACCTTTTCTCATAAAATACTTAACCCTTTGCACTCAGATGTCGAGTGTGACTCGATGACTCGACATGGTTAGCATCGGTAGCAGCTCATATGTCGAGCCACACTCGAGATATAGTTTCACCGAGGGGGGGGGGGATATTTTTGTCTATTTTTCCAGTATCTTTTCTTGTTTTCATTAGCATCAAAGGACAAGTAAAATGTAAATGCATAGGTGGTACACTAACTTCCAGGGGTAGACTATTATCCACTAACTTAGAGCAACTTTTAGATGGAAAGCTCCATATAATCACACCTCACCCTAACAAAAAACAACAAAAAACACAAAGATTGTGTTGTTTGTTCTAACGGAAAAATCAAAGGAGGAAGAAGAGAGATGATTTATATTTGCTAAACGTGAATGTAAACCAGGTCTTCACGTGGGTGAATGTTTCAAAAAAATCACACCATGAAAAATTATAGAGATTAAAATTACTCTTTGAATGTATCAATAATTTGAAATATAAAAAAACCCAAATAAATAAGTTTGTATGAAAAGAAACTCCAGTTTTTTATTCTACTGCTGCGCTTTGTAAAATCTGGGGTATTTAAAAAATTAACTCCTGAGTAGAATAAAGAAATCGAGAAAAAAGCAAGTGAGTGCAAAGGGCTAAGTTACCCTTGCCATGTCGTGATAAAATGCAAGTTCACTTTATGCGAGCTCAGTGAACAATGTTTTTCACTTAGTTTGCATTGTCACAAAAGAACAAAAGTGGAGTTAGTGAAACCTACACATTGTACAGATCACCTGACACTGAACTGAAAAAGTCCCCGCTGATCCTTGGACAGTCACTTCCTAACCCCACACTTCCTCCTCACCCTCCTGCCTCCCTACATCCCAGATTAGAACTTTGGGAGGAGGGCTGGCAGGGTGCCACATGTTATCTCCAGACCTTTACCTGGGCTGAGTTAGTGGAGGGGTTTTATGGTGCTCGAATACACAAAGATTCTGGCATGCCTCTAGGATCTCGGGGAGAAGAAGGGTGGTGGGCAGCAAGAGGGCAGGAGTGGATCACTGATTTCTAGAAGTTATTCAATATTTGTTCAGTGAATAGTTTTTTTCTGTGAATCTTCATTTATCATAATTTTATTAAGCCTTAAGTTCTATCATTTATATTCTGAAAACAATAAAATTTTAATGTTTCTAATGATTTGCCTTTTCTAAAACTGAAAGTGCTTTTTTCTAAACTAAGCCAGTCGTTTCCATTTGCATTGTCTTCAATCTGCCCTGTCCCATATTCTTAGACTCCACAGGGTGTGTCATCTCTGCTTCTAAAACATGGCCTGTATTTTAGTGGTCAGTGGCATTCAAGCCTATTAATATCTCATGTCATTCAGGGCAGAATAGGCTTAAATAGGAATGTAATTCTTCTCTTACCTGATGAACCTTTTTAAAAGTTTATATGTATTAGCTGATAATACAGAATTTTTAAACTGTGTTCTCCATAAATCAGGAAAGAATGATGTCATACATGTGTGTCCTTTGTTCCTCTTTCCTCTGTATCTTTCTTTTCTCATCCCTTTTATATGTTACCAAGCCTTATGTCATCACACAATATGGTAAGCACTCCTAATAGTAAGCCTACATTTCTAACATCAAACCTGTATTTATTAGGTTAGTATCATTCAGCACATGATTTTCTCTGTAGAGCTCACCTCACTTCATCTCCAAATACTCTTGAATGACTTAAATGAGTAAATTCTTTAAAAAGTAACATGCAAAGCCTTTAATAACATTATCTACCCCTGTAAAGCCTTTAACATAAGAGTATAGCTCTTGAAGAAATCATGTCATTTTACTTAAAAGTTTTAAGGAAAAAAATGTTATATTTCAAATTTTTGTGTGTGTGTTTAACTAGACTAATTTTTAAAATGTAAGTATTACCAAAGAATGTGTCTGAATCATATCAATGAGCTAAAGGCTTTCTTGTTTTTAGACTAGAAGAAATGGAAGAAAAATATCTAATGAGAGAATCAAAACCAGAAGATATACAGATGATAACAGAATTAAAAGCCATGCTTACAGAAAGAGACCAGATCATAAAGAAACTAATTGTAAGATATTTTGGTTTTGGTCTAACCATGTTAGTAATCAATAGACTATTGATTGGGATAACATGGGAAAACATTTTTAAGTAATGCTAAATGAAAATAAAAAGTACAAAATATGTGCATTGTAGAACTGTGCATTAAAAGTTTTTTAAAATGTTTATGAATAAGGATAATATAAAATAATATTTAAAATTTAAATTTGATATTAGGGTAAGAGAATTGTGCCTCTTTCGTATTTTTTAAAAAAGAAATAGTCTTTTTGATACATATGGAATGTTTAATATGTCATTACCAATATACAATTAATATACTATAAGAGTGTGTATATGTGTGTATTATACATGTAGAATTAGAATTTGCTAGGAAAGAATAGTAAGCACATCCATGTATTAACCAGTATTGTACAATTTCAGGTTAATCATGTTAATTTCTGTTCCACCAAACATTTATGCAAAGAGATACTCTATAGAAAAAGGGCTCTATGGCTACATGAATTCTCTTGGAGGGTCAGAAACACTGAAGTTTTATGGGATCTGAGAAGTCCATCAGGCAGGAAAGCAGAGATTTAACTATAAATCCACTGCCTTCATCAATGCTACTATTCCTAAGAATAAAAAATACATAAATGTTTTAAAATTCATAAAATATTTCAGAATCTTCTAAAATTACACATCTTAATGAGTAATTAAAATATTGTTTTTTACTGCCACTAACAAATGGAAATCTTTCACAGTGAAACTAGAAATAGAATGCTAATCACTCTTCATGCTCATTGATCTCTTCAACTGAAAACTTTGGACTTTAGCATGCAAAAAGAGCACAAGGGCAATATTTATTTCTGACATCCTTTTTCCTCAACACATCCCTTTTAACATTTAGGAAAGCCAGCCTGTTATCTGAGACTAGAAGTTCCTGCTGAAAGCAACAGGTATAAGTTGAAGACAACAGATGGTATCCAAGAGCAGGCTTTGGAGAGACAATGTGCTGCTTCAACCCACCAACCACCCAGTTTTCCAAGTCCAAGTATTGTGAACATGAGCACAGGCCTTATCAATTGCTGTATCTGCTAGCAGTAGACTCATGGAAAATTATCGGGAGGTGTTATAGATATAATTGTATTTTATCCTCACAACAGAAAGAGCAAAGTAGCTTTTGAAAGCAGCACAGCGAGTCAGCAGTGACAGAGCCAAGAATGTAGCCATTACTTAACTGACAGTGGTAGGTAACCAAGAGGGGGATGAAGAATCTAGCGCTACCATTAATAGATTCCACTGGAACCTAGTTCTACTAGCGCACAACTTTGCATTCTCACATGCACTCTTCTGTTTACTTATGGACTTCCCACAGTCCGCTTATTCAATTAGCACATCTTGTTTAAGACAAAGGTAAAGCCTTTATCTTTGTATGGGCCATTCGCTTTTTCCCTGTTCTGTGATTACCATTGCAATAATAGATGGATGTCTCATATTAGGTGAGATCAAATCTGTTCACAATACTGAAGAATAGTAATTTATCACAGTGCCATCCTCATCTGTGGAAATAACCGTTCACACAACTATATGAATGTAAGTTAGACCTGCTAAACTGCACAGTTAGCCCTGTGAAACAGAGTTGGGACTAAATAAAACATTTAGAATCCAGTCTTAGAGAAAAAGGCATGAGAGGGTAGAGTCAAGCCCCTGAGTATAGAGTTTAAAAGGTGTTGAAGACTTACCAGCAATCTTTAAAACAGCAGCAATTAGGCACAGAAATCTTTGAACAAGGCATATACATCTACATTCAGGTTTTATATTAAATTTGGAATGAAATGGCATTTAAACAATTAAGTTTTTTAAAATATTCACAGAAAATATTTAAAAGATGTTTATAATTCTTTTGCATAGGAGGATAATAAATTTTACCAGCTGGAATTAGTCAATCGAGAAACTAACTTCAACAAAGTGTTTAACTCAAGTCCTACTGTTGGTGTTATTAATCCATTGACTAAGGTATGTGCTATAAACACTGTAAAATAGGGATGTGGTTTAAAACTTGACTAAAAATTTGGTAAAATATTTGGAGCAGCATAGGATAAAGTTCCTAAAAATGTTTTTTTTAATTTAATAATCTAGCACTAAAATTTATGAATTATTTGTCTTCATTTTCAGAATGAGACTCTTAATACTCAGATTCCTTAAAATATTATTTTATCAATCTTATAAAACCTTGAGCCTACGTTTTTTTCATATTTCCAAAGAATAAACTTTTAACTCTCCTTAAGACAGTTTTTTGTCATTTCCTTACTGATCACATACCTATATGGGGCCCAGAAAAATACTCCAGTTCTGAATACCCAGCAGCTATCCCTAGCTTAAGGCTTGACTTAATTTTTTTCTTGAGACAGAGTGTCATTCTGTTGCTCAGGATAGAGTGGTCATAGCTCACTGCAGCCTTGAACTCTTGTGCTCAAGCAATCATCTTGCCTCAGCCTCCCAAGGAGCTGAGACTACAAGTGCATATCAACACATCTGGCCAATTTTTTTTTATTATTATTTTTTGTAGAGATGAAGTCTCATTATGTTGCCTAGGCTGGTCTAGGACTCCTGCCCTCAAATGATCCTCCTGCCCTCAAATGATCCTCCTGCTTTGGCCTCCCAAAGTGCATCACAGGCATGAGCCACTGTGCCCAGCCAGGCCTAACATCTTAGTGGACCTTAAGTTGACATGCATTTTGTTACCTACCATTTTTCAGAGAAGGGCTTTACTTCTTTCAGTCTAACAACTGTTCTTGATAATTAAAACTGAGTATAATTTATTTTGATAATTTGTCACTCTCTTAAGACAAATAGAAGAGCCTTGAAATGGATGTGTCTAAGTCTTGCACATCCTTGTACCCTACCTTCCCATGGTTCCAATCATAGTGCTTTCAGTACAGTAGATATTCAATAAATATTTGTTTAGATGCAAAATTTCATCACATTCTCTATAAGCCACCACAAATTATTCTGTGAATAAAGCAAGTAATAAAGAATAAATAATTGTATTTATCAGCTTCACAGGAATTATGAATCTTTTGGCAGAAGTCAATAGTTGAATAAATAAAAGTGCTAGTTCTAAAGCCATTTTTTAAATTCATATTTTATTAAGTTTCATATCATACCCTTACCCAGAAATTTTGCTTTCAAATATCATAAAACTTCTCTGCTAAGAACACTGACTCTATCCTTCCATTACAAGTTAAAGTGCTCCAAACTTTAAATGTGAATGCTTTGTAGAATAGAATGACTAAAGTAGACAGGCATGTAGCTTTATTTTCAGAACCTAAAATACTGCCTGGCACATAGAAAGCTCTCAATAAATAATTGGTAAATGAATGACTATAATTAATTTTCATTTTTAAATTCATAATTTAACATGAAATAAGCTTTTAATTATAAAGCAAGATTTTGAATCTTGTGGAAATAACATATACTAGAAATATTTTAATTTATTAAAATTAAAATTTTAACTACAAAATCATTACTGTAGAATTTTATCAGTGATAATTTTGATTTCTTAAACTAGAAACCTTAAGTAGGTTTAATTATGCCCTCTGGTGACTAGAATAAGAAAATGCAAAAGATACATCTCTGTAATAACTTTTAAACTACTTTTGACTCCTATAGTGACTTGACTTTTCACAAGTAATTCTAAAGAAGATATTCTTCCTTTCTTTTTCTGGTTATGCTAATATAGGCTTCTTGTCAGAGACTCTTGTCACAGAATATGACATAGAGGAAAATGTCTAGATAGTGAGATGATTATACGTAAAGGAAAATTACATCTTGTGTATTAATTGCATTATTTCCCAAACTCTGAAGTCATTATGCAACACATTATTTCTCAAATTTAATTAGCATATTTCTAATTAGCAAAAGATAAGAATATTCTAAATATCTTACATGTTAATTTTTATTCCTCATAGGAAGATGATTATCATGGATTGTAGAGGTGTGAATAAAATACTTTGAGACTAAAGTTAATGATTTGTAAGCTGATAAATTTTAATAATCTGCGATCGGATGGGTTTTTTTCTTTGTTTTTTGTTTTTTTGTTTGTTTTTTTTTTTGAGATAGTGTCTTGCTCTGTCACCAGGACTAGAGTACAGTGGCTTCATCATAGCTCACTGTAGCCTCAAACTCCTGGGCTTGAGCAATCCTCCTGCCTCAGCCCCCTGAGTACCCGGAGATACAGGTGTGTGCCACCACTTCTGGCTTATTTTTCTATTTTTTGTAGAGACAGGGTCTCTCTCTTGCTTAGGCTGGTCTCAGACTCCTGGCCTCAAGAGATCATCCCACCTTGGCCTCCCAGAATGGGAGATCAGGTTCAGGAATCTGATTCAGGATTACAGGCATAAGCCACCACACTCAGCCTGTATGCCTCTTTTTATTTGTTAATCTTTTTAGTTTTTTATTTTTGAGACAGTCTCACTCTGTCACCTGGGCTAGAGTGCCATGGTGTCAGCCTAGCTCACAGCAACCTCAAACCCCTGGGCTCAAGTGATCCTCCTGCCTCAGCCTCCCAAGTAGCTGGGATTACAGGCAAGCACCACCATGCCTGGCTAATTTTTCTATTTTTAGTAGAGATGGAGTCTTGCTCTTGCTCAGGCTGGTCTTGAACTCCTGAGCTCAAGTGATCCTCCCGCCTCAGCCTCCCAGAGAGTTAAAATTACAGTCATGAGCCACCGCACCAGCCTGTTAATTTTCAAGATGGATTAAAACAATAAAAAATATTGATTACTATTGTTTTATAACCTTTACATTAAAAAATATGAGCCAGTTAACAATACTGCCAATTAATTGGGAAATTAGACTTAATTATGCAGATTTAATTTTCTCTCTTCAGAAAGATGTCACAGTGAATTTAAAACCAAATTATCTCTCTAAGTCAGCTTTAAGTCTTAAGTAGAAATGTATGATTTGTTTCAAACTACATTGCCAAGCATTTTCTCATTCCTTTTTTTTTTTCAGGCAAGAACTGCCTCCCTTTGACAGATGGCTAAATTTCATGGACCTTTCTTAAAATTATGTTTAACTTTACCCCTTTCTCCTAACTTTAGCCTGAATCCATTTAACCTTGTGGTATCTGCAAGACCTGCTCTTTCCCCCTCTCTTTTCCCCTTTGCTACCAGTGTTCTTTACCTCTTGGCACCCTTTTTACCTCCCCCTCCCCTCCCTATAAACCACTCCTAAGTACTTCCTCATTCTTTCTGTCCTTTGAGGATTCCATGTAGATAAAGAACACCTCCAAGGATTCCCAGACCACAGTTTGGGTAACACCAGTTAATTTTAACATCTTAATTTAACATAAAGCTTCCAAAATTTATCCATGCCAAATTTCTATTTTCTCCTGTGCCTATTTTCTCATTTGTCCTTACGCAGGGACTATCCTCACATGTATTATTTTTAATGCAGCAAAAGAAGAAGAATGATAAATCACCAACAAACAGGTTTGTGAGTGTTCCCAATCTAAGTGCTCTGGAATCTGGTGGAGTGGGCAATGGACATCCTAACCGCCTGGATCCCATTCCTAATTCTCCAATCCACGATATTGAGTTCAACAGCAGCAAACCACTTCCACAGCCAGTGCCACCCAAAGAGCCCAAGACATTTTTGAGGTGAGCCCCGTCTCACCAATGGTTTTTTTCTTTTCTTTTTTAACTTGAGCAGTTTACCTTCTTATATTGCAGAAGTCCACTACTTTAAGAACAACCTAATAAAAGAAATACTACTGTGAAATATTTTCAAAATGTATTTATCACCTCTCTAAAGAACTCCCTCTTGACTCTGTTAAAAATATTTTTTCTAATTTCTTACCAATTTTCTAAATGCTTGGAGAGGTGTTAATGTAATTCATATGCTTAGAATTTTAATACTTATGGATAAATAGTTCATTTTTAGTATTTTCACCAATTTTTCATTAATAATCCATCTTTATTATAGAACTTTAAAATTTATTAAGTGGTTTTTGTTTCTTGTATATTTATTTTTTCCCCTTTCTTGTTTACCAAGCTGATTTGTAAATATATGTGCTTATTGCCAAAATAAAAAATCTGAAAGCACTGGGAACTTGATATACTTAAGCAAAAAATAAATTTAGAAAAAATAATTTTTTAAATTGACATTCCAATTTTAAGTTATCTCAGAGTTCTTTTTTTTTTTTTTTTTTTTTTTTTTTTGAGACAGTCTCACTTTGTTGCCCAGGCTAGAGTGAGTGCTGTGGCATCAGCCTAGCTCACAGCAACCTCAAAATTCTGGGCTCAAGCAATCCTACTGCCTCAGTCTCCCGGGTAGCTGGGACTACAGGCATGTGCCACCATACCTGGCTAATGTTTTCTGTATATATTAGTTGGCCAATTAATTTCTTTCTATTTATAGTAGAGACGGGTCTCGCTCTTGCTCAGGCTGGTTTCGAACTCCTGACCTCGAGCAATCTGCCCGCCTCGGCCTCCCAGAGTGCTAGGATTACAGGCATGAGCCACCACGCCCGGCCCAGAGTTCTTGATTAAATGTATTAACAAGTAAATTTTGAATGAAATACATTGTTCAACCATTAAAGTTAGAAAGTACTGTTGTTTTATGTTCACCTTACTATTAGAATTTTGCCGCTTTAAGTTTATTTTTTTTCTTCTTCTCATTAACTGTTAGCAGTGTCACAAGTAATAGAAGCAGACTCTTTGGGGGGGGCTAGGTGATTAATGACATAATTAATGACTACTTTAAATAATAAAAAAGTAGCAAGAATGAAAAACAGTCAGATACACCTCTGAATGTGTCTCCTGCTAAATATTTTGTGTTGCTTATTTTCCCTTGTGCATGAGTGTGTTCAGGTATCAATAAGATGCATGTGCATGAGCTCAAGGAACATGACTACTGGAGTTTCCATTACACATTGTTGCGTGCCTTGTAATTTTCCCCAAAAGACGGTAGGGATTCTTTTGTTTTCTCAAGTAGCCCAAAGAATCTTTAGTTAGAATTAAGATAAGTATGAACTATATAACTGTGAAGATAGAGGGGGAATTGGATTTTTAATGTACTCCTTTTCCTGGAGTATTTGATAATGGAATTGTGATTATGAAAATGATAGTTTAATATAAATAGGCGCATAGTTAAAAATACTGTACCTCGATTTAGTTACTTCATTTAGTTATATTTAAGGACACATCTGTAAGAATCAAATGTCTGTGTCAGATTCTGAAGTTTTAATGAAAAGGGAAAAAGGTGCTGAAAGAGGAATATTATCTTATTCTCTTATTTCCTACTGAAATTTTTTTTTATTCAAAGAAGGTGACATTATTTTTCAGAATTGTTTAATTTTTGTTTTTGTAAATTGTGACGTGGCTCTTGCTTAGCTGACCTCATCTGAGCTGCTGATGCACTCTTCATGCTTTCATGGAGTGGAGAACCGATCCTAGTGCAGAGCGGTAGCAAATCTTTAAAACACGGGGAAACCAGTTGTGGTAATCTACGATGATGTATTATGTGCTTTTCCCTTAATTTTGCAAAACCACTTAATGCTGGGTTACATGTCTCTCTTTTTATGAATTCAGTCCTCCTCAGAGTGAAGCTTCCCCGGTGGCTTCTCCAGATCCCCAGCGCCAGGAGTGGTTTGCCCGGTACTTCACATTCTGAAAGAATTGTGTTGGCACAGCTCTGTGTGGACTGTTACTAAGAGCATGACTTTATAAACTCATTATGTGAACAGGCTTTCCTATGTCAAACACTGTGAATGATAAAGTATTTGTCTCTCTAATTTAAAAATGCACTGTATTTCCTGTGATATTTATTGGAATCACTCTATAAGGTACTATATTATGTGTGTAATTATAATTATTTTTATTTAAGATGGAAGAGTCTTTAATCTTTGTAATTACTGCATAATAAATTTTGTTAGAATAAACAATAATGTTTTTCATTTTTTTCTAATAAGTTTGCTTTAATTTTTGAATACTTTTTAATTACAGGTAAGACTTGCCAACAAAGAAATCTTACTGCCTATTTAATAATCATATCAAATTATTTGACTTCAATAATCATAACAAAATCAGGATAGGGAAACAAACTATTAACTTGTTCCATTACAATGTATAATTTTAACAAATTTTCCTCTAAATTTACAAGGCTAGAATGAAAGCACATGTGTAAATTGTGGATTTTCAAGTATATAAAATATTGTTGACTTATAAGGGTTTTTTTACTCTGATAATTAAAATCTAGAACTTTTAGTACAGTTAGTATCAATGATTAATATTATACTTTATGGCCCAAAGTTACTGGGTAAGGACTGAATAGTCAATTCTATTTTAATTTGTCTTAAAAGCCAGTTTGTTGGTTTTCTAAGTAGGCAATTTAGTATTGATACATAAACATGAACTCAACTGACCACTGTCACATGTTAATGAGACCTTTTCTTTCTTTCAGCTTTAGTCAATCTTGGCCAGCGACTATATTGTATTCAATGGCCAGAAGAAGTGCATCCATTTCTACTAAGAGCACCAAGTTTAGTTGATCAAGTAATGTAGATATTAGAAGAATCTGGTGAACTAGATAAATGCAAAGATAATACATGATCTGTGTTTTAAGGGCAAAACCCAAACTCTGTAAAATAACTTAAAAGGGGTTTATTTTGAACCAAATATGTGTGACCACAGCCTAGAGAGCTATGCCCAAGAAGTCTTGAGCAAGTGGTCTTGAGGTGGTTGGGTTATAGTTTGGTTTCATACATTTTAGAAAGACTAGAATTGCAGATAAAATCAAAAATCAATACATCAGTTTGGCCCAAAAAGATGGGACTGCTGGAAGCAAAGGGTTATAGGTTATAGGTGGGTTCAAAGAGTCTTTGATTTGTAATAGGTTAAAGAAATGAAGTTTTGTCTAAAAGCTTATAAAGTAAGGCAGTAAGATAAGGAATTCTGTTAATCAGAGACAAGCCACAATATACCAACTCAAGTGATCTGTTAAACCAATTGATGGCCTGCAGGTGATTTAACCTTTTCTCTGCACAGCATTAGGTCCTGTTAATAATTTAGTATCTTATTATCTGAGGTGTCCCAATCATGGGCAGGAACTAAGTTTTAAGGCTTTTCTGTGTTCCCCTTGGCCAAGAAGGGTTCTCTCCACTTGGTGAGGGAGGGGGAGTTAGGATTTTAGTTCATCATATATGAATTATTATAATTATATTAAAGACAAACTTTTAAAATAATTATGTATTAGGCACTACTAAGGAGCAATGTAAGGATTATCTCATTTAATCTTTATAAATCCTCAAGGAATAAATCATTGCATGCATATACACAGTTGGTAGCATGTTCTCTGGCAGGTTATTATCCTGAAAAAAAATTTTCTACCAAATACTTGTTTTACATTTGTTTTTTGTTTTTTTTTTCCTTCAAGTGATTGAACTTTCTAATTTTAGTATACGTGCTGCTGAAACTAGCACAGGATTGAACTTGAGCTAGGATCTAGGAACTTGATCTAGGAAAAATGATTAGTGAATGCTTATCCAAAAGTAATTCTTGTTACAAGCACATATTCTTGCCTTAGTTTATACATATCTCAATCTGGATATTTACTAACCAACTATTTGGATTAGTACATGTGCAAGTGACTATGCTAGATATAGGCCCACAAAGATGGTGAGCACCTGTCCTCAAGGAGCTAACTGTATACTTGGTGAAATAGTCCAGAACCACGAGTTTCTTAAAGCACTATCAGAAGAACTACAAAAGAGAATTACGGAGGATACAATAGAAGTAGAGAAAAGGAAGTAATTAGCTGAAAGTGGTGGCAGGGGAAGCTTGACATAGTAGGAGTATCCAAATATAATACTGAAATACAAATAGGAATTACCAGATAGACCAGGGCAGAGCCTATTCCAGGCACAAGGTGAAACAAAAGTTAAGAAAGAGCAAGCCAGCGGTGTCCAGAGAACTCTGTGCAATTTTGTTGGACCAATGTGTAGGATGTATGTGGGCATAATAGGAGAACAGCCATTTCTTGAGCAGTTACCATGTATCAGACACTTCTTTTTTTTTTTTTTTTAAGACAGAGTCTAGCTCTGTTACCCAGGCTGGAGTACAAAGGCATGATGATAGCTGATTGCAGCCTTGAACTCCTGGGCTCAAGCAATCCTCCTGCCTCAGTCTCCCGAGTAGCTAGGATTACAGGTGTGCACCACCACACTCAGCTAATTTTTTAATTTTTTTGTAGAGACAGGGTCTCACTATGTTGCCCACGCTGGTCTCCAACTCTTGGCTTCAAATGACCCTCCTGCCTCAGACTCCCAAAACACTGGGATTACACACATGAGCTACCACACCCACCCAGCCCAGACACTTCAAGGTTTACATTTTTAATGGGAATGGAGATAAGGGGATAGAGAGTGAAGATACAGAATTAATGGGAGTTGGTGACAAATATACACAGGACTGAAAGATAATGAAGCATGGGCAAAAGAAGAATTTTAATTTTAGATATGTTGAAATTAAAGTTTCTCTAGAACAATTAATAGGCAGCTAAATACAACTCAGAAAAAAATCTGAGCTAGAGATACTTTGGAAGCATGGCACCAAAGATAAAGCCAGAGGTATGGAGCACAACAACAAGGAATGAGGTTTTGGAGAGAACTTTGGGAGATACCAACATTTAAGGGGCAGGCAGGTCTTCAATGAAAATTAGAAGTGGGAGTTATAGATTGGTGTTAAAAGCATGGTGTTCCAGAAGAAGAAAGTTTCAAAGAGAGCAGCCAACATGTCAAGAGCTACAAGTATCAGAAAAGGGAAAAAAATGAAGTGTCCATTTACTTCGCCAAATAGAGGATGGTCTTAGCAAGAGCAGACTCAGGGTAATGGTGGCAGCAAAAGCCAGATTCCAGAAAGAAGTAAATGGAATTTGAAGAAATTGACATGTGAGTAAAAAACCCATCTTTGAAGAAATTTAGCTATACAGGGAAAGGGAAAGAAATTGAGATGATAAACTGGAGTGCAGGATCAAGACGGGTTTTGTTTGTGCTTTTAGGAGACTTTATCATGCTTTTATACTGGAGGGGAAAGAGAAAGATTAAAAGAACAGGAGGGGCCAGGTGTGGCGGCCCACGCCTGTAATCCTAGCACTTTGGTAGGCCAAGGTGGGAGAATCGTTTGAGCTCAGGAGTTCAAGACCAGCCTGAGCAAGAGCGAGACCCTGTCTCTACTAAAAAACAAAAAGAAATTAGCCAGACAAATAAAAATATAGAAAAAATTAGCCGGGCATGGTGGCACATGCCTGTAGTCCCAGCTACTCAGGAGGCTGAGGCAGGAGGATCTCTTGAGCCCAGGAGTTGGAGGTTGCTGTGAGCTAGGCTGACGCCACGGCACTCTAGCCCAGGCTACAGAGTGAGACTCTGTCTCAAAAAAAAAAAAGAACGGGGAAGAAGAGAGAAGCAAAAATTTTATAACAACCTTCAATTGTCACTGGATTATATGTAATAATATTAAAGGGGTGGCCAAAGAAGTCATATACAGTTAACATTGTGAAGAAAACAAAGTTTTAGCAAAACATTTTTTTGATATAAAAAGCAAGCTGGAATCTTAGGGTTAGAAGAGGCCTTAAAAGCCTATCCTGAATGCTTTTTTCCAATCTCCCATAGAATGCCTTAATCTCCTTTATAACATGCCTGGCTGAACTTTAATCCCTCCAGTGATAGGAAGTTCCTTCTTCCAAGGCTTCCTAGCACTGGCTCTGCCACCAACAAAGTACCTTAACCTCCATGACTGAGTCTCCTGGGCTATATATTAATGATAAAATGATACCCTCTACCTTACCTTCCTAAAGGATAAAAAGAGATAGCTCATGAAGTCTTGAGAAGGGTATAAATTAAATTACTATAAGTGAAAAAATAGCTGTCTTGGAAAGTAGAAGAGCAAATGTATTAGAGAAATGTCAAGGGACTGTCAAGCAGTAATTGAGGTCAGAGAATATATATTGAAACCCATCAGCATGATTGTGGTTTGGGGCCATCTTCAGCTACTAAGATGCAAGTTTGTCAGACTGGATAGTTGGACATAACCAGGATTAGGATATTGTTAGATAAGTACCACAGAAGGACGATGTCAGAGGAGCAAGAGTGCTTGCAGAGAAATGATGATAAAAATGGGTATTTATTATCTGTTGCCCAGGCTAGAGTTGCAGTGGCATCATCATAACGCACTGCAACCTCAAACTCCTAGGTTCAAACAATTCTCCTGCCTTAGCCTCCCAAGTAGCTGAGACTGCAGGCATGTGCCACGATACTTGGCTAATTTCTTAATGTTTTTTGTTTAGACAGAGTCTTGCTATGTTGCTCAAGCTGGTCTCGAACTCTTGGGCTCAAGCCTTGGCCTCTCAAAGTGCTAAGATTACAGACATGAGCCACTGCACCCAGCCTATATTTAATTTTAACAATCTACTTTTAATTTGCTTTTATTGGCAATCAAAATCTGTTCAAAATAAAATAGATAGCCCGGAAATAACCAAATTAATTTTGGCAAGGGGGACATTACTCAATTGGGAAAGGACAGTCTTTTCAACAAATAGTGCTGGGAAAACTGAATATCTCCATGCAAAAAAATGAAGTTGGACCCTTACCTTATACTATATACAAAAATTAATTCAAAATGGATCAAAGACCTGAACATAAGAGCTCTAACTATAAAACTCTTAGTAGTAAATAAGGGGTAAAACCTACACGACATTGAATCTGGCAATGATTTATTGGATGTGACACCAAAGGCACAGGCAACAAACAAAAAAATTGGAGTTTATAAAAATTTAAAACTTGTGTGCATCAAAGGACACTATCAACAGAGTGAAAAGACAGCCTACAAAATGGGTAAAGATATTTACAAAGCATATATTTGATAAGGGATTAATATCCAGAATATATAAAGATTCCTAAAACTCAGCAACAAGAAGAAAAACAAGTTAAAAATGGGCAAAGGACTTGAACAGACATTTCTCCAAAGAAGATATACAAATGGCTGATAAGCTCATAAAAACATGATCAGCATCACTAGTTATTATGGAAATGTAAGTCAAAACTACAATGAGACAAGATACCACTTTCTACCTATTAGGATGGCTTTTATAAAAAACTAAACAACAACAAAAAACCAAAACAAGTGTTGCCAAGGATGTGGAGAAATCGGAGCCCTTGTGGGGATGTTAAATGGTAAAGTTACTGTGGAAAATAATTTGGCAGTTCATCAGAGCTTAATACAGTATTACCATATGATCCGGCAAGTCTGCTGCTAGGTGTATACCCAAAAGCAGAATTGAAAGCAGAGACTCGAACAGATACCTGTACACCAATGGTGCTAGCATTATTATTCACAATAGCCCAAAGGTGGAAACAACACAAGTGTCAGTCAACATATGAATGGCAAAACAGAACGTAGTGTAGACACACAATGGAATATTATTCAGCCTTAAAAAGGAATGAAATTCTGATATATGCTACAACATAGATGAGCCTTGAAAACATTATGCTAAGTGAAATAAGACTGACAAAAGGATAAATATATGATTCCACTTATTTATGGTGCCTAGAATGGGCAAATTCATAAAGACAAAGTAGAATGGACATTAGTAGGGGTTGGGGAAGGAGGTATAGGGGAGTTGTTGGTTTAATGGATACACAGTTTCTATCTGGAATGATAAAAAGTTCTGGAGATGTATAGTATTGATGTTGTAACATTGTGAATGAATTTAATGCCACTGAATTGTATACTTTAAAATGTTTAAAATGGTAAATTTTATGTAATGTATATTTTACCACAATAAAAACAAAAGGACTAAGTAGTGGAGTACTATTCCAGTGACTCTGCATTGGTATCTGAATAAACACAATATGTAAATTATATTATAAATTGCTATATTTATAAATTATTTAAGGTGAAACTTCTAAGATTTATTCTTTTTGCTTTTTTCTTCATGCCATTTTCTGTATGAATGTTCTGCTATTTGGTACCTCAGCATTTCTTTAAGTCTGAGTATCTGAATAGAAAATACTAGAAGGTATAGTCAGAGATGGAAAACATGACTTGAGATTACCTCAGATGCCAGAATATCATGTATAGACCAATTTACAGGTTCTATCTTTAGTATTGCCAAGGTATATATTTACCCTTCTTATCTCTGAGGTTATTTTAGGCTTGTGCCTCAGATACACTGTAGAGTGAGTTGATGGAGTATATGCAAACTGCAAAATATTCACAGTAGAAAACAAAGAAATTGACTAGTGTTACTGTCCAGCCCTCCAACTGCAGACCTCCCACTCCTCGGGAGACCTGATGAGCATCTGCCTGTCTGATATAGACATAATAAAAAGCCAGTGTCGATTTTTACAATAAATCCTTAAATGCTTTATTTTTAGATTAGAAAATAAATATAAATAGAAGTTCTAATAATTTCCTCTGCCTTACAAAGCATCTTGCACACTCCTTGGGGTTGAAGACTGTTGCTTTGGAGTACAAATAAAAGTTTCTCTAAGATTTATTCCATAACTTTCTCTTCCAAATGTTAGGATATGAAACATTAGAGCCTGAAATTTTCTCTTTGATTCATCGAGTGGCCCATGGGAAAGAATTCTTCCAATTCCTAGTCTTCATGAAGGATTTAGCAACACCCTTGCTTATCTTGGCACTGAGATCTTCAGAAATAAATATTTATTTTATTTGACAAATAAAAATAAGTGGACCCTCTAGAAAGAAGTATGTAAGCATTAAAGTATATTAAATACCCTTCTTGGGAAGCCAAGTCTATACAGAATGAATCTGTGAATTCAGTAACGGTTCTCCTAACACTTGAGTTTTAAAAGGCCAGTTCTTTTCTGAGGAGGGGAGTGAAATCCATTAGGAAGCATGGTTTGAGTTCTTTTTTAACCTCATGAACTATTCTCACAATAAAAATTATAAAAGTAAGTTAAAGGGAGAAATTAGAAAATTAAAATGGTGGGAAGATAACATTTTCTACATTTATTGCATACCTACTATGTACTGTTTTAGACTAGGAATGCCAGTGAAAAAACATACCATGTACTGTTTTAGACTAGGAATGCCAGTGAAAAAAACAAATGCCTGCCCTGTGGAACTTACATTGTTGGGGCAGGATATGGATATATAGATGAAGATACATCTCCATATAGTTATATATCCATTCATAAATTACGTGTATGATAGATAAAAATAAGTAAAAGCACAGATTTGTGTTGTCAGATGGTAGTGGTGGTAAGTACAATGCAGAAAAGGGAGGGAAGAGGGAATATGAGGCAGGAGTGGGGCTGCGGAGTAGGTAGGCTACCAGGGCATCTACAAAAAACCCTAACATCCATATTTAAAAGTGAAAGATTGAATGCTTTCCCTCTTATACCAGAAACAAAGGATGTCTGGTCTCAACACTTTCACTCAACATTGCACTGGACCTTCTAGCTAGTGCAAAAAGGCAAGAGAAAGAAAAGGCATCCAGAAGGGAACAGAAAACTGCCTTTATTCACAGATAACAAATCCTGCTATATGGAAAAATCTGGTGAAATCTACAAAAAAGCTATAACTTAAAAGTGATTTTTACAAGATTGCAGATACAAGATCAATGTTTAAAAAATCCAATTGTATTCCTATATACTATCAAAGAACAATTGGCAACTTAAAATTTTAAAACCATTTGCATAACATCAAAAAGTATAATCCCTAGATTTAGGAATAAATCTGATTTAGGGATAGACGTAATAAAAAATCAAAACATTTATTGAGAGAAATAACACCTAAATAAATGGAAAGGCTTACTTTGTTCAAAGGTTATAACACAATTTTTTTTTTTTTTTTTGAGACAGAGTCTCACTTGTTGCCCAGGCTAGAGTGAGTGCCGTGGCGCCAGCCTAGCCCACAGCAACCTCAAACTCCTGGGCTCAAGCAATCCTCCTGCCTCAGCCTCCCGAGTAGCTGGGACAACAGGCATGCGCCACCATGCCCGGCTAATTTTTTCTATATATATTAGTTGGCCAATTAATTTCTTTCTATTTTTAGTAGAGACAGGGTCTCACTCTTGCTCAGGCTGGTATCGAACTCCTGACCTGGAGCAATCCGCCAGCCTCGGCCTCCCAGAGTGCTAGGATTACAGGCGTGAGCCACCGCGCCCGGCCAGTAACACAATATTATTAACATGTAAATTATTCTCCTGTGGATCTATAGCTTCAGTGTTAACTCCAATCATAAACCCAGCTTTTTAAATAGAAAGTCATAAGCTGATTTTACTATTCATGTGAATACACGAGGGACCTAGAAGAGCCAAAACAACTTTGAAAAAGAACAAAATTGGAGGCCAAACAGATTTCAAGGACTCGTTATAAATCCACAGAAATCAAGACATTGTGGTCTTTTCGTAAAGACAGGTCACTGGAACAAAATAGAAAGCCTAAGAATAGACCCACAACTGATTTTTTTAAGGACAGCTGATTTTTGACAGGAGCAAAGGCTGTTCAGCGAGAAAAGGAAAGTTCTTTGAACAAATGATCTGAGACATTCATATGCAAAAAGAGTGACCTAAGACCCACACCCTAGACCACCTATAAAAATTAGCTCTAATTGGATCACAGACCTAAATCTAAGACCTAAAATTCTAAAACCTTTATCAGAAAACATAACGCGAGACTCTGTGACTTTGCGTTAGGCACATTGCTTAGGCCAAAAACAATCCATACAATCCGTGTGAGGCAGCCCACCGCCCCCTCCGCCACCCAGCCCAGGGTCCAAAGCATGCCCCCAGCCACGCCCCTCCGCCACGCCCCTCCCCTCCGCCACGCCCCTCCCCTCCGCCACGCCCCGGGCCCTCCTCGCTCCTCCCCAAGCCGCCCCGCTGCCTCGCAGTCCCCGCTGGCGGGGCGCGCGCCCGCTCGCGTCTCCACCCGGAAGAGCAGCCTAGGCCGGGAAGTTGAGGCGGTGCGCGGCCCGGTGTCCGCCGAGAGCGCCTGCTGGCCTGAGCCCACTGCTCCAGACCGGCCCAACGGAGCCTGCGCGTCCTCGCGGCCGGCGGCGCTCGATCGGCACGCGCGCGCGCACGCCCCGCCCCCAGCGGCTCCCGGCGCGCGGGGCCGCGGTGAGGACCTGCCGCCGGGCCGGAGCTGTCCGGGGCCCTCGGCCTTAAGAGCAGCGCGTCCTCGAGGACTTCTGACACTGCGTGTCAGCCAGTAAGTGACGGCCACCGCCTCGTCTCACGGGTACTTGTTTCTCCTGCACTTCGTCCCACGTCTCGCCCACGACTGGTTAGTTCAACAACTGTTCAACTCCGGGACCGGTCAGGCGAGGGAGCTGCCGGGAGCAGAGCCCGGGAGGTGTCAGAGACCTGCCGAGGTGGCGTAGAGCAGGGGCTACGTGCGGAGACCCTCTGAACGAGAAAGAAAGTTTGGAAAGCGCCCTCCGAAAGCGAGTCGAGTCCACGTTTCCTGAGCGCCCGTGCAGCAGCCGAGCGGCCGGGAGGAGGTGCGGAGACGGCGCGCTCCCGGGAGAGGGGCGGCGGGCGGGGCCGGCCCGGGCGAGGCGCTCGGCCCCCGCGGAGGGGCGTGGTTCCCGGCGGGCGGGCGGGGCCCCCCGCGGAGGGGCGTGGTTCCGGGCGGGCGGGGCCCCCGCGGAGGGGCGTGGTTCCCGGCGGGCGGGCGGGCCAGCGGCGGTTCCCAGGGGCGGGCTGCGCGGCGCCGGCGCAGATGTTGGTAGGCACCTTCCCATCATCTTTTTGGCGCTTCAATTTGGTCAGAGGACAGAGTAATGCAAAATAATTTTGACTTCAAATATGCAGTAAGAAAAAGGGAAGGGAAATTGAAAGTTGTGGAAGGACCTTTTTCAAAACAGTAAGTGCCTCCAGTCTGTGTCTGGATGGGAATGTTTACAGGGTTAGCAGACTGCTTAGAAAACAGTTGATTAGTCAGTTTTGTGCAGATGTTGAAAGAGAACGCTATTTTCATAAAAGATACTGCATATAACCCTATAAATTGCTTGTATAACGAGGCAAAATTTAATCCGACTTTAGTTGGATACTTGGATTCTCCGACTACCCATTTCCTGCTCTTATGTGGAGCTGTTTTTCAAATTGCTACATTTGTGGCTCTAAATTTAATATGCGTTCATAGAATCTCAGTGATTCTCTTGTAGTCATTCTTGGGAGTCCAGATTATTTGTTTTTGGCAGAGGCCACATCGTGGAAATAGTGTATGGTTAGTTCCTTCCCGGGTGCTTTTTCTGCTTTACACTTGGCTGAATTTATATTATCTAACCAAAAACGAACTACTTATTGGAGTGATGGCCATAATTTATTTTCACTCATTCTCTTAGATATACACTTACTCATCTCTTAATCTCACACTGGCGTTCTATAGTTGTCAGGATTCTTGGCCTAACTCTAACTGTAGCACCCCCCCTCTTAACCTTTCACACCTTCCAGAATAGTAGGTTCTCAGAGAAGGCAAAATATTGCTAATAAATGGCATGTATAACACATTTTTAGGGTGCTAATCTGTAAATTTTATAAGTCTTCTTTAATATTCATATTTAATGAGCCTGGTACAATAAATGATGGGTAAATGAAATTAAATTACACCTATTCTCCAATGCTGTCTTTCCAAACCAAATGTGAGTTTCTTATTTGGACAGCTTATTTATTTGTAACTGCCCAGTGCCACCGCTGGGATTGTCATCTTATTTAAATTTAATTCCTCTTTCCTTTGTGTTCTTATTCATATTGCATTTTTAGTACTGGTAAGAGCACTATTTCATTTGATATGTCCCTGGAATCTCTGAGGATATAGAGCACCTTTTACTAAGCTTTTCATTTGCCAGCATAGTGCCTTGTACATGGTAGATATTTGGAAATGGACATCGAATTGGGTTTATACATATGTAATTTGTTATCTGACTGTGTGCATGAAAATACAATAGGGGTAGGCCCTTTTAATCTGTAGATACACATTTAAAAACAAAAAGATTGCCAGAGGAATAAGAGAGTAATGGTATACGTTATATTTATTTTCAGTCCTAATTATTTATCATTCGAAGACTCAATGTTCCTTTCGTTTCCACTGTTTATTTTCTTTACATTCTTGACAGCTGTTTTTATTGCAGCCAGTAATTTTCCCAGGATAAGAGGAGAAAGTATTCACCCCCAAATGTGAATTTCTAAAGCTAATCTGTTAATTATTCAAGTTAAAACTGGCTATCAATTTGATTAGTATGTGTTCCATTTATTAATACCTAGCAGAATACATATGAGTGTGTGTAACAAAACAGAGAGAGAACAAGAACAATATGCTCTTTATATGAACAAAACCTAGACCCAGGACCCTCACAAAGAACTCCACTTCAGCTAGAAGACTAATGTTTAAGATTTTATACTTGAGAGCAAATGTGTGTGTATGAAAGGTAGTAAAGGCAGGGCCTCTTATGTATGTTATATAAATTATGATACCATCATGCATCACTTAACAATGGGGATGTGTTCTGAGAAATGTGTCGTTAGGCAATTTCATTGTTGTACAAACATCAAAGAGTGTACAAACCTAGATGGTATAGCCTACTACACGCCTAGGCTATATGGTGTAGCCTATGGCTTCTAAACTACAAACTGGTACAGCATGTTAGAGTACTGAATACTGTAGGCAACCGTAAAACAGTGGTAAGTGTTTGTGTATCTAAATGTATCTAAACATAGAAAAGTTATAGTAAGAATACAGTATCATAATTTTATGGGACTACCATTGTATATGCTTTGTTGATAGAACCTTTATTCAGTGCATGCTGTACACTAATACAGGATTAATGAGGAGGAAGTTTTGGTAAAAGACATGGGAGATGCTTTGAACTGTTGTGGATTTTGATAATCAGTACCAACATAATTCTTAGATTTAACTTCACTAATTTTTAAAGTACATGTACTAAATGACAGTAACAGGTAATTTGTATCTAATTAAGATTTGAATTCAGGTATTATTTTGTTATTATAATGTGATGAAAAGCCAGGATGATTTATATCAATCTTTTTTGTTAAATGTATGTAAATCTTGAATATCAAAAGCATAATCCGATGCTTTCTTTTTCTCTAGTAACCTAGATTCAAGATGAATAACGATCAAGTCGCACTGGTTGGTCAAGTATTTGAGTCGTATGTTTCAGAATACCATAAGAATGATATTCTTCTAATCTTGAAGGAAAGAGATGAGGATGCTCATTACCCAGTTGTGGTTAATGCTATGACCCTTTTTGAGACCAACATGGAAATTGGGGAATACTTCAATGTGTTCCCCAATGAAGTACTTACTATTTTTGATAGTGCACTGCGAAGGTCAGCCTTGACAATTCTCCAGTCCCTTTCTCAGCCTGAAGATGTTTCCATGAAGCAGAATCTTCATGCCAGGATATCAGGTAAATCACTTAAAGGTTTTACTGCTATGTTATTTTCAAGGAAGATTTTGAGAAAATATAACACATGTTGGATTCAGAACACTAAGAAATAATTGATATCTATACTTAAAATGTATAGCTGTTGTGTAGTTGATGGTCAGCACTTTGAGAGCTGAATAATGATAGTGTTCTCTGGGCTTGGATATTAGCCATGCAACTGAGACTAGGGAGAATATATAGAGACAACAGTACACTTGTATGTTTATGTATTTCTATGTGTGTGTATAAAATTGTAATCCAAAACAGCTTTTTGAGCTTTTGTGACTACTAACAATAAAAACATTGGTAATACAAAGGATTAAAAAAGTGGTAGATTCTGCCCAGGGATCTTCAAAACTATTTTAAGAAATTATTTTTATTCAAGATTAGCATTGTGCTTTCCACCTACCAGGCACTCAGTAAATTTTCACTGAATACATGACAGATTAAGCATCTGAGTTTTTAAGAAACTATAGGGGAGCAGTCAGCAACTTGTGGTGGTAGAGCTGTGTCCTTGAATTCCTGCCTCCAGGACTTCTTGACGCTCACCTTCTGTTTTAAAAGTGAAGTGTTTTTGTGGTTTTTTTTTTTTAACAGAGGAGATAGAGTTGAATTAAGAATTCTGTAGAACTCTTAAGAATTTTAGGAAAAAATGACACTGCAGTATAACAGTTTTTCATTATTTCATTGCACAGAAACCATTTTGTGGAAGACATAGTGTGGGATGGTGAAAAGAAAAGAATTTATAGGATACCTGGTTAGAAAGAGCTACACCCCTAGGCCAGGAGACTTGGCAAGTTACTTTGTCTTAATGAGCATCAGTTTGCATCTGAAGCAGAACTGGGGTGAGGGCAGTAGAAATGAGAGGTAAAGTGATATTTCTTTAGGGCCAAGGAAGAGAGAATGAATGTTTGAAAGATTCAAAGAAATTATTGTTATATTAATATGTTTTATTAACTCATTATCTTTTTTTCTGTTCTCCTCTGTTTGCATTCAGTAAGTGCTCTCTATTGTACATATATAGAAAGATATTCAGTGAGAAATGTGATGATTAACCCAGTTTGCTTCTTATAGTATAAATAGAATCTGCCAACAATTCCAGGAAAGATGAGGGAGGTAATTGAAAGGAGGTGTTAAAACAAAAACTGGCACACAAGTGTTAGTAGTAGCATTATTCGTAATAACCAAAAAGTGAAGACAACTGAAATGTCCATCAGTGAATAAACAGATAAACAATATGTGGTCTGTCTGTAGAGTGAAATATTATTTGGCCATAAAAAGGAATGAAGTACCGTATGTGTTATAACAGGGATGAATTTTGAAAACATTATGCTAAATGAATGAAGCCAGATACAAAAGGCCATGTATTGTATGATTCCATTCAGACATCCCTGCCTTACATGGCTCAACTTAAAATTTTTCGACTCTGTGATTGTGCAAAAGTGATATACATTTGGTAGAAACCATACTTTAAGTACCCATAAACCATTCTGTTTTTCACTTTCACAACAGGATTCAATAAATTATATGAGGTATTCAACACTTTAATACAAAATAGACTTTGTGTTAGATGATTTTGACCAACTGTAGGCTATTGTAAGTATTCTGAGCGTGTTTAAGGTAGGCTAGGCTAAGCTATGTAGGTTAAGTGTATTAAATGCATTTTCAACTTAGGAGATTTTCTGTTGATAATGGATTTATCATGTGATCCCATTGTAAGTCAAGGAGCATCTATATATGAAATGTCCAGAATAGATAAGTCAATGAAGACTAGAAGTAGATTAGTGGTTGCCATCAGCTAGGGGTAGGAAAGAATGGAGAGTGACTGCTACTGGATACATGAAAATGTTCTGGAATTCTATAGTGTTGATAGTTGTCCAATATTATAAATATACTGATTACCACTGAATTATACACTTTTTGGGGTAATTTTATGGTATGTGAATATCATATTTTTTTAAAAAAGTATTCATGTGAGGAGCAAAAGAAAGGTAACTAAGAATCTGCAAGCAGTGTTAATATATGTTGCCATAATATACATCCCACTTAAGGCCAGGTAAGCAGGAGAGATAGATCCCCCTCTTGGTTGCTTCTTCTTTCTTTACATCCTGGGATATGAACCAAAATCATGACTCACTTAGTGGCAAAATGGGATGCAATTTGAATTAGTATAAATAAAGAATATATCCATTAGAATATGGATAAGTCAGCCTAAGTCTTTCTGCAGACTTGTAACCTGTAACACCAGGTTAACATAGCCTGGCACCTTAGACATTCAGTTACTCTAACTTGCTTTTTCCCCCCATGCTTCCTAAATTGCCTTCTGATTGTTGTTGTTATTATTTGGCTTTCAGAGTAGATGTATCAACAGGGAGAAAACTTATGACCATAGAAACTTAAGGATAATACTTATTATGGTTATTTCTTATGAACTGGAAAATCTGATAAATCAGCCTTCAGTGTGTATTCTTACCTGGTTTTTGAGCCACTAAATTCTGAAGAGGAGACAGTGGGCCATAGGACATTAACCAGCACAGCAAATGCTACCCTGATAAACGTATAAGGAGGTAGCCTTTGACCATCACAGCTAGCACCCTGGCCAAATTGAGAAAGAGGTCATTTTGCATAAGAATTTTCTTTAGTGTTTTGCATCTTTTCTATTGCCTTTTTTAAAATATTGACAAACACAAGGTTTTTTAAAGGATAAAATGATGCTATGAGTAAACCTCTAGGTAAGCCCAGACTTAAAAACATTGTCAGGTTGATGTTTTAATAAATCCTGAATCTAACTACAAAAAAACCAATACATTTCTAGCACTGTGAAACTCTTTGGACATTATGCTACCATCTCTTTATCAATTTGCTTTGTGGTGAACTCAAAGAGTTTTCAATTGATTTTCTGTGTGGCAAACAGTAGTATATTCTTTGGTAAATGTGATTATAATTATATCTAGTATGATTCAGATCCTACTGAGATAGTCTTGTGAGAATCAATCTTTTTTTTAATCCTGGTTATTATAGCATCTAGCTATGTGCTTTTAGAAATAATCCATTGGTAATTGTTATTTGAAATGATTCTTTTCTATTTTCTTGATTTGATCTGCGATTATAATTTTTCTCCCAGGAAATATGAGAATGTATTCTATGGAGTCAAATCCCAAGGTATAAGTTGATGCTGTTTTTGTTTCTTTCTTTCTTCATTAGGTTTGCCTGTCTGTCCTGAGCTGGTGAGGGAGCACATACCTAGAACCAAGGATGTGGGACACTTTTTATCTGTCACTGGGACAGTGATTCGAACAAGTCTGGTGAAGGTCCTAGAGTTTGAGCGGGATTACATGTGTAACAAATGCAAGCATGTATTTGTGGTCAAGGCTGACTTTGAGCAGTATTACACCTTCTGCCGACCATCCTCATGCCCCAGCTTGGAGAGCTGCAATTCCTCTAAATTCACTTTCCTCTCAGGCTTGTCTTCATCTCCAACCAGGTGTAAAGATTACCAGGAAATCAAAATTCAGGAGCAGGTAAAGGATCACATAAATGAAATAACAAATTTAAAGAAGTATTTTTCAGCTGTGGACAAAAATGCTAGGATTAGGGAATGTAAAATGGAGACAAATGGACTTGTGTTGTCATTACTTTGTAGAAGAGCAAACTTGAAACTGTTCCACATATGCCAGAATATAGTCGTTAGAAACCATGTACTAGTCATCTCTTGATTGATTGATTGGTACAGAATCTCTCTCTGTCACCCAGGTAGAGTGCAGTGGTGTCATCATAGCTTACTGCAACCTCAAACTCCTGGGCTCAAGTGATCTTCCTGCCTCAGCCTCCCCCATAGCTGGGACTACAGGCACGTGCCACCATGTTGGCTAATTTTTCTAAATTGTAGTAGAGATAGTTTCTTGCTCTTGTTCAGGCTGGTCTCAAACTCCTGAGCTCCAGCAGTCCTCCCCACTCAGCCCCTAGAGTGCTAGAATTACAAGTGTGAGCCATGGCACCTGGCCTAGTCACCCTTTTAGATAGAGCATTGACAAGAAGGTTGTGGAGTGACTTAATAATTATGTTAAGATTAAATGAATATTTAAGAAGTCCAACCTAGCTGTTCTTAACTGAGGGATAGTAGAAAATTAATGCTCATAACTAAGTATAGGAAGTTAACCCTTTGCACTCAGATGTTGAGTGTGACTCGACATGGTTAGCAAAAATTATAGAGATTAAAATTACTCTTTGAATGTATCAATAATTTGAAATATAAAAAAATCCAAATAAGTAAGTATGTATGAAAGAAACTCCAGTTTTTTATTCTACTGCTGTGCTTTGTAAAATCTGGGGTATTTAAAAAATTAAATCCTGAGTAGAATAAAGGAATAGAGAAAAGAGCAAGCAAGTGCAAAGGGTTAATTAATGTTTAAGTGGTTGTTAAACATTGGAGTGAACAGGATTTGGGCTTTTGGCCCAATTTTATTTGCTCTGCCAAATGAGGTATACATAAACAGAGTGAGCCTAAATATTCATTTAATCTTAACATAATTATTAAGTCACTCCACAACCTTCTTGTCAATGCTCTATCTAAAAGGGTGACTAGGCCAGGTGCCATGGCTCACACTTGTAATTCTAGCACTCTAGGGGCTGAGTGGGGAGGACTGCTGGAGCTCAGGAGTTTGAGACCAGCCTGAACAAGAGCAAGAAACTATCTCTACTACAATTTAGAAAAATTAGCCAACATGGTGGCATAGTTTTCATTTACTTGCAACTTAAATGCAAAAGTTTCTTCTCTCATCTTAAAATGAGTAGGAGATAGGCATTCCAAGGCTAGGTCAGTGTCAAGGACTCAGACTCTTGTGTTTCTATTCCACTATTATTAATACATGGCTTTTCTCTTCTTATGGTTGTTCAGGATGGTGGCTGTAACTTCATCTCATGTATATTGTAGTTAGAAAACAGAAAAAAAGGAGGGATGGACAAAAGTGCCTACGATCTAACAAAGTTACCACTTAAGTAGTCTCCCTGGAAATCTCCTACGAGATATTTGCTTATATCTCATTTGATTATTTGGCCAGAACCTCATGATATAACCACATCTACATTCAAGCGAGCCAGTCTTTTCATTAGGCACATGTCCACATGGAATAAAACCAGGGCTCTGTTACTGAGGAATAATCATGGGGACTGGGTGATTTGTCCCATGTCTTTTGGTTAGAGATCAGGAAAGATATGTTCCTCTTCTAGATAATAACTTTGTTATTATGTTTGGAGCATATGTTTACTTTGACCCTCCACAAGGTAGATTATATATGGAGATATTTTCCATATTGGTGCCTTTATTTTACTCTAGTTTTAGTGAATTCTTATAGTAGGCACAGTTTTCAAGAAAAGATCCTTAAATCTCCATCATAATTAAATTGTATGGTATAATAATACCAGAGAAATAGAAACAATAATTTCAAGTACTGCTAGGCTTCTGGAAACTTAGTATGTATTTAAGCATACTCAGAATCTGTTTTCTTTTCCTTGCTAGGTTCAAAGGCTGTCTGTTGGAAGTATTCCACGATCTATGAAGGTTGTCCTGGAAGATGACTTAGTAGACAGTTGCAAATCTGGTAAGAATGACTTTTATTAGCTTGTGCACAAGATACTAAAGCACTGATTAGGAAAAGCTAACTTTATTTTCCCAAGATCACTGGTAAGGAAATATGTAGGCTTAATTGCTCACCTTGAGAATAGAGACTGGCATAGAGATGGGAGATGACAGCAGGAAAGAGAACTGGGCTGGAGCTATACAACAAACAGCTAGTCCAGCTGATTGTTTTATAGATGAAGAACCTGACTTGCCCAAGGTCACTTAAAGAGTTAAGTGGCAGAACAGGAACATGAATCCAGATCCACTGACTTCTAATCCAGGGCTCTCTTGAGTACACCATAGCTTAACTGCTGCAACTTAAAAAATGTTAGTGGATTTAATAGGCAATCATATAAAATGAAACAGAGGATGTGACTCTTTCGAATGCTACTACAGGTCTTATTGGTGTCTAGAAGAAAGGAAGTGATCATTCCTCTGCTCTGTGCTGGTGACACCATGATAGGAGTCACATTGATTTTGGTCTGCTGTCCTCTGAGGGTCCTCCGTGTTTTCAATGGCCAATCACTGGAATTGGGAGGGAACTTGAAACCATACTCAATGAAGAACTGTAGGTGTTTGTCCTGGAGAGCCCTCAGGAAGGACATGACAGCCAACTTTCAATAGCTGGAAGACTGTCATATAGAAGTGGAGTTGTAATTACAGAAGATTGGCTTTCACTGGGAGAGGGGTAGATTTTGACTCAGTACCTCACAATCAAGTGTCCAGCATGGGTGTTGGATGATGGTGAGTACTTTTTCTCATAGATAGTCAAGCAGAGAGGATATACGGTTCTTCATTGGGGATTTAGGCCTTGCAATGGGAGTTGATCTGGAGGATCTGCAATGTTCCAGGCAAATTAAAGACTTTCTGAGCCTCAGAGCTGTTGTGAAAATCTAAGGGCTCCAGAAACCTGGTTGTTGCAGTGTCATTCTGAGATAATATGTTTTGATCTTTGGGCCCACCAGCCTAGTCCTAAGCTCTCCTTTGCCCCTCTCAATTCATCTCATTCCCTCTTCCTTACTGGGGAGACTGGGAAGAAATCGAACTTAAAAGCGTTAGTCATTTTCAGTTGCTATAACAAATTACTATAGACTAGGTGGCTTAAACAACAAACATTTATTTCTCACTTTAGACGCTAGAAGTCAGAGATCAGGGTGCCAGTGTGTTTGGGTTCTGGTGAGGGCCCTCTTATAGGTTGCTCACAGCTGACTTTCCTGTATTAACATATAGTTGTCTAAATAGTACATGAAAGAGAAAACAGATTTGATTAATCGATTGCCTGCTAAATGACACAAAGATATGTCAAAACACTTTGTTCATACAAGACTCTAGATTTTAACCTAAATCTGTAATATCTGGATCAGCAAAGCAGTGCTTATATGAGCTCAGCCTGAACATGAAAATATCCTTTGATAGAATATTTTCATGCAGTTCATCTACACTGAATTCCTTCTGCATGAAAAATAAATCTTATTTTCCTTTCAAATGACATTAATAATGAAGGATGGATAAAAGCAGTCTGTGAACAGCAATTTTTTTCAATTATTCATAGCTATAAACCCCTGTGGGAAACAAATGACATAAATGGTATAATCCTTGACCTTCAGGAACTTAGAGCCTAGTTAGGAACCCCAATTCAATATGTGCAGAGTAATAAAGTTGGAGGTTGTATACTGGTATATGTCAGTACAGCAGGAAATGAGAAATGGGTCTGACTGGGGATAGCTACGGTAGTAAATGTGCTACAGAAGATACAGAGCACAAAGAAACTGGATTGTATAAAAGTAAGAATTTTAGCTGAAAATAACATTGTTTATAATATTTACTGTTGAAAGATACAAAAGCTTAAAGTGACCTTTGGACTGTCACACATACCACACAGTTGTTCTGCTGATCAGTCATATGAATCTGCCACTCAATAAATATTGAAGGGTTTTTTAAGGTATCAGTTACTCTGCAAATGTAAGGTAGGTTTAGTATAATAACAACTAATATTTATTGAGCACTTACTATGTTATAGATATTCTCCCCATTGCACTATGATATAAATATAATTCCTATTTTTTAGGTCAGGAAACAAGCTCAGGAAAATTAGGTAATTTGCCCAGGGTCACATAGCCAGTGAGCAGTGGAGGTGAGATCTACATCCAAATCTGATGAGAGTCAGCACTCTTGGCCACACTTTAGTATTCTACATTTTCTACATAATCACTACTTATTGACATTAGATTATTGCTTATGGGTGATATATCTAAAACTTAAGTTCCTTATTTAACTAGTTTAGAAACAACCTAAATGTCCATTAAAATGACCATAATAGAGGACTGTTCCACATCCTCATGTAAAGTTGCCCCAATCATTTTTATCTAAAAATTTGGGGGCAGACAATATAGTAAATGATCATTATTCCCAGTTGGGTTGAAAATCATCCAAGGAGGGGCTTAGGAAAGATCTTGGAATATGTATGAAGCCCTGATTTAGTATATTTATTACCATTTAGTGTGAAGTTGCCTTTAGCTGGAAATGTGAATGTGCCTCTATTCTGTGAATTGGCACCACCAGTTCCATGTGTTCTGCATTTACAGAACAGTTTTCTTCAGGAAATCAAAAGCTCTGCAGATTACACATTACACATTGAAATTTACAAAGTGAAGGCATTTTTCATCAGCAAATAATATATAGTTAGCACAAAGGCATGGAAATGAATTGCCTGTTAATTCTGAGACATTGTTTGTTATGCAAAATATAAATACCAGGACTGGGTTTGGGGCATGTCCAATATCCTGTGTTCAACAAGATTGAAATTTTGAAGGAGTAGGATTATGATTTTTGTTTCAGTTTTTGTTTTTGGCTCCCTTTTCTCTAGTACCAAAATATCAAGTGCAAAACATTCATATATATTTGTTAACTGATGCATTGCATTGTATTAATATATAATATGATAAGCACAGATGGCAATGTTTGGCATATGTGCCTATAAACTACCCAAGACCTAGTAGGAAAATCTATAAAAGTTTAATATTCTGCCTACCAAGAATGAGAGGGTTTCCTCAGGTAGGTAGGAAGGAACCACCAAGAAGGAACAAGCAGGATTGTATCTTGTGCCTTCATAGTTTATGGGAAGGAGCTTTGAAGTAGAACTGATATTCATTAATTTTCTTAGTTCATTGTTTCTTTGGTTCATTGAAAAAAAGAAGGGTAGTGAGCAAAATGTTAACAAATGTGAGTAAAAAATGAACATGTAAGAAACTAAAACTAGGCTGGGCGCGGTGGCTCACCCCTGTAATCCTAGCATTCTGGAAGGCTGAGGTGGGTGAATTGTTTGAGCTCAGGAGTTCGAGACCAACCTGAGCAAGAGCGAGACCCCGTCACTACTAAAAGAATAGAAAGAAATTACTTGGACAGCTAAAAATATACAGAAAAAATTAGCAGGGCATGGTGGCACATGCTTGTAGTCCCAGCTACTCAAGAGGCTGAGGCAGGAGGATCTCTTGAGCCCAGGAGTTTGAGGTTGCTGTGAGCTAGGCTGACGCCACAGCACCCTAGCCCAGGCAACAGAGTGAGACTCTGTCTCAAAAAGAAAAAAGAAGCTAAAACTAGGTGTCAGTCATCACAAGGTTGTCTCTTGCTGACACCAAGTTGATTATAGCTGCAATTCCCATCTCTCTTCTCTAAATGAGAACTAAATGGTTAGAGACTCTGAGAGAATGAACATTCACTCAGTGTAACTGTGATGAATAAATTATATCCAGTAAACTATTAATATTTTCCTAGTGAAGGATAATTGGTGTCATTATCATGTAGTAGATTATGAAAAATAAAATTACTGACTTCAGCTTTTTACTTTGCAGATACTGTATGACAGTCTGTGGGGAAAAACAAAATTGGGAATCTGGGGTGTTCTTGTGCATCCAAATTGTTTTTTGGATGAATGTATACATTCTGAACCCTAGTAGGGGAGTGATGTATTTCTAATTTCTGGTCCTTTGTCATGTGAGTCTGTGCCCACATGTAAGATGCTACTGGTGGGCTCACTTGCTGCTTTTTCCTAGGTGATGACCTAACTATTTATGGGGTTGTAATGCAACGGTGGAAGCCCTTTCAGCAAGATGTGCGCTGTGAAGTGGAGATAGTTCTGAAAGCCAATTATATACAAGTAAATAACGACCAGTCCTCGGGCATCCCCATGGATGAGGAGGTCCGAAAGGAATTTGAAGATTTTTGGGAATGCTATAAGAGTGATCCCTTTGCAGGTTTGTGATTAAGGGGATAAAGCTGATTATTATTAATGGCATTGCATTCAGTAGTTAAATATGATGTCTGTGATTTGGGGACAACCTTACAAGCTGCATAACTCAGTGGCTGAGCTCAAAGGGAGTAGCATTTGTCAGTATCTCTAGCTGTAGTCTCCCTCTGAAGCCATTTTATGACATAGTCTTTTAAATTTAGAAATCTATTTAGAGATCTTCCTGGAGATTTTCCATTTCTATTATTTTAAACACCTTGTATACTATGAAAACAGTTTGAGTTTCCTGCCTTCTTTATCAATTAAAAAGTTCTTTAAAAAGGCAAAACTTATGTTATTAGGAAACCTCATCATATTAAAGCCGTTATTTCTCTTCTGATGTATTATTTTCAGTAATAGAGATAACTTCACCCTATTTTGGCTGAAGATTTTAAAATAGGGCGTAACTAGGAAAGAGATGAAGAGGGATAGAATATGCAGGGAATAAGCTTTTTCATCACAGCAAAAATTTTGATTGTGACACTTTAGCGTAATTACATAGAATAAAACCTCACACAGCCTTTGGGTTTGTAGTGTATTTTTTATTGAAAAGTCCCAGATGTATAAAACACCAATTAAGTCTTCAAATGCCAGTTTTCATTTTTCCTTGGAGGCATCTTCTCAGAAAAATAAATTGAAGCTAGTAATAGACTATTTCTAATAAACTTCACCTGAAATCTAATATATTGAGTACTTTATTCTTAAATCAAATGCTGAACTAGACAGATGATATATCACAAAGTAAGGCTTCCATTTACCTAAATATGGGCAGTTTGCCTTTATTTTGTGGGATTTTTTTGGGTTTTTTTGCTTATGTGTATAGCACATATGAAGTTGTTCCTGATCTTTCTTTTATTTGATCTATATAGAAAGAACCAAAAGTTCTCAACATTATGGCTTTATGAAGGACTTTAAGAATCATATATATTTTTTTAAATAAATTCTTTGACTGGAAATGGTTTCTTAGGATTAGGTCCTTATAAAAATCTGTAACTTTTCCTTGCATGGTTATTCCTTACTGGTTCCAGTGCCACGCCTCAACTCTACCTTATGACAGTGAAGGAAGGCCACCACACAGTGCTCTAACCAGAGCTTCAGTGCTTGTGCTGGTGATTACAGTCTAGCTTTTTTTAATTAGACAGTTGTATAACTCATTTATTAGATTAAAGAAGTAAATATAACAGCATTGTTAGAAGTGTAAGTAGGAAGACAACGAGAAAATGAGGCAACATTTTTTTTAGTATAAATGGCTTCTCCCTTCTTAGTTTCCTATTTTTAGTATAAATGGCTTCTCCCTTCTTAGTTTCCTATTGACCAGTATCAGTGCACTATATTTCTTCATTTCACGTGTGTGTTGGCAGGAAGGAGAGGTAAACATGGAAAGCTGTGTCCAAGAGGACATCTTCATTCTGCCAGTCTAAAGCACCTCTCCTGCTCATGGAGGTTGACCTGCTTGATGAAGACTTTATCCTGTGGATATTGACTAGAATGACTCTAAAGGCTTTATTCTGATCTGCAGTGACTTCAGGGATCCCTTGACCCTGGTGCTTATATACTGGATAACCCAAACGTATGGGTTGGGGTCTGTTGGGCCATCTGAACCCACTCTGGGGTGACTCAATTATCTTAGATCTGAGAGCTTTTCTTCATTGGGATAACTGAAGGCCATGCCACAAGAGGTGATAAGTAGGCTGTTGCCACATTATTGACATGGTCTATAACCACAGATTTATGTGGGAGGTGGAGATGGGGATAGTATTGACCCTAATGCATTCTTTTCCATGATATAGCCATGGGAGCTTCTACTGCCATGATCCAAGTAATCAAGTTTTTTAACTTAGACAAGTTTAGGATTATGGCCTTTTCCCTTTGTTTTTCTCTAGTACCTCAGTCCTACCTTCATAGTCTATCTTTTGTATTGACTTCAGTGTGAGGAAATCTTGAGATCAGAAATTAAGTACAAGTAATACAGGTAACAAAATAGTTAACAGTTAAGTAGTTCCCGCTATGTGCCAGGTACACTTCGTTCTTTGTGCAGTACACTTATTAATTCCTTTCATCCTAACAATTCTATGCTGATACCATTACCGTCTCCATTTTACAGATAAGGAAATGGAGGCAGAGAGGTTAAGAAACTTGTCCAAGGTCAGACAGCTAGTAAATAATAGTACCAGGATTTGAATCCAGACATGACCCCATATCCTGTGCTCTTTACCACTGGGATATGCTTCCTGTCAGCACATTAGTCACGGATCCTCTTGTAGTCAGCAAAGCTTTCTCTTTAACAGCTTTGGCTTGAGTGTAAGCAACTCCCTGGTCAGTTGCTTACACTTAAATCTGCTTATTGGGGCTATTCCTTTTTCCTTATCTGTGTAATTTCTAGATTCTGGTCACAATTTATCTACCTGCTGTCAGGTCTTTTTATATTCTTAAATTTCTGACCTTTTTTCTCTGGGCTTTCTATCTCAGGAAAGGGAAGGTTTCCTTCTGGCAGTTAATGGACTTCCTGGATTTACTAAATCTTCTTTCTGGTTCTTTTTATACTAAAAGATTTTCTTCACCATTTCTGCCATCTCAGGTCACATCACATCACTTAGTTGCCACTGAGTTCATTTTGATTCATTACTAAAGTAGCCTTTGTTTACAGGGCCATAAATTGTAGAAATGCTCAGGAATGAATGGCTTGTTAGAATTTTGTAGATTTGTTAGGACAATGACTGAATGAAATACTTTATATGTGGATGAGATAGGCAGATTCTCAGACATAGTGCTTTGATATTTCTGAAAAAGGACACATGGTCAGAATTCAACATCTCCAGCTTAAGATCTCTAGGGTTGTAGTTTGCAATGATCTTAATACCCTGATACCCATGTAACTTATTCCAGATAAAACAGAAGTTAGCAAACTGCCCAGAGCAAATGCTGAATTGACTTGTAGGGTAGATTGATTTTACTTTTCTTCCTTCTCTTACACTTTTAGAGAAGCTCTATGAGTGCCAACTACCTCTATATTTAAAACTTACTGAGTCCTATGATCTGATTCATTGTTTCTGAGATTGAACCACCTTCCTTGTATTTAGGCAAAAGAGTAATTTTACTGAAATTACCACATAGAAAGTACAACTGGTATTACTTTAAGGGATGATATGTTGGCCTGATAGGTCATAAATGAGAGAGAAAAGATTTCCTTTCTTTATAACCCTTCTAAAGTATAATAAATTTATGAAAAATTAAGAAGTACCCAGGAATAAAAAGCAGCCTTTTTATCTCATGGCATTAATAAAAGGACTTTTTAGAACCAAAAAGTTATTTACTCCTTTTAGTCTTTTGGAATTTGCCCCTTGATCATTTCAAATTACAGAAAGAGTATGTTTATAGGAGACTGGTCAATTAGTATAGGAAGGGAAATTTCGGTTAGGGTTTCTTGATAATTATTGGTGAGTTCTGATCTTTTTGCCTTTCCTAGGAAGGAATGAAATACTGGCCAGCTTGTGCCCTCAAGTATTTGGGATGTATCTAGTAAAGCTTGCTGTGGCCATGGTGCTGGCTGGTGGGATTCAAAGGACTGACGCCACAGGAACACGGGTCAGAGGTTAGTACCTACTTAAAAATTTTGAGAAATATTAACACAGGGAGAGAAGCTAGACTTTTTCTTTCCTGAATAAAAAACATTTGTTGAGCTTTATCTTTTAAATGTAATCTTTTAAAACTGACAATTGTCCAAATATACTTAGTCCAGCATCTATATCTGAGAAGCTACTTTAGAAATCTAGAAAGGCTGAAAGAAATCATGCTTTTCAACTGGTATATGCTTTTGCTCTAGCCTTTGTAAGGGTGCCACAAAATAACATCTTTACATTTCTATGACTGGGTATGTTTTTCATTGGATCCCCAGTCTCTTCAAGAGGAAAAGATTAGAAATAGTACATTTTAATGTCTCCAAGTCAGTGTCTTTCCATCTGTGACTGTCACTGTTTCTCTCAGACTGCTGCTCTCAGGCATCTGCCTGCTGATTCCCCTTTTGCTGCTAGAGAACAAATGTTCCAGCTGCTGTGAGGTACTACTGTAGGTCACACATTCAAGCAAAGATTACTCTAAGTGTACAATTATGTCCAGATGGCAGAAAGCTCTTTTGCAGCTAACACACTTAACTGACCTGAGTCTGGCATGAAGTATGTAAACCAAAAGACTAAAAGGAAGTTATTATAAATCAGGCTATTCGTAGGGACTCTAAAACCATATACGGTACAGTATAGAATAGTTAAGTATTAAGTTCATGTATATGTTTTGACCACTTGTTTGCAAGGCACTCTGCTAAATATTGAGCTTACATAGGGGTTTCCTATTAATATATTTAGAAAACACTGGAGTATTACTGAAGAAATTCATTTGGTCAGTGAGATAATATACTATAGGATATGCATATGCTCATTTATGTTATATATGAAAAATAAATGTACATATAATTAAGATAGATATTTCACTAAGTAAAATTTTCATAAATGAAAAAGTTTTAACTATTGGAATCATAAGTGATTTGGTATTTATAAAGCACTTACAAAGTCCCCAACACTTATAAGTTCTTACAGAAAAATAAAATACTTATATGACTTGTATGGAAAAATTTAATCACAGTAGTTTGGTATTTAAAAATAGATTAAGTAAAATCAGATACCTTATAAGCCAAAAATTTTTTAAATGTTAAATATAGGCCTAAATATCTGGAAATAGCACATAACTTTAATGAATTTAGATTTTAAATGTCATATTCAGTAATCAATTAAAGACTGTTAAATTTATGACAGTTAACTTTTCTAAAGATTTTGTAAATTCTTCCTCAAATGACCTTATGTAAAAGTATACAGCAGAAATACTATATAAATTGCCAACTCACCTGCTGAAAAAAAAAAAAAAACAGTGTTGGCATTCCAAGTGGACCACTTTCTTTTTAATTATACTTATTCATAGGTCCTTTTATTGAAATTTAAAACTTTACATATTTACTTTTTCCTAGGTGAATCTCATCTCTTATTGGTTGGGGATCCTGGTACAGGGAAATCTCAATTCCTGAAATATGCAGCAAAGATTACACCAAGATCTGTGCTGACCACAGGAATTGGATCTACAAGTGCAGGTACTTTATGTGACAATTTCAAGTAATTTAATATTACTACAGAAGCTAACACAAGAGTTTTTTCTTATGAAAAACTGCCTATAATAGGGTAATTATCAAGCTAATTTTTGAGATTGCCCAAAACTGAAGGAAATATGCAACATTACTTTTGTAGTTCTAACAAAATATTTTGAAAGCTCCACCTTCACTTATCTTTGCATCTTAATTTTGAACAATCCTCTTTGATATTCTCATTCTCTACTGATTCCCATCATACATATTTATGCAGAAAAAAGTACACATCATCTGGCATTTTATGAAGACCCAGCAAACAGAATGTTAAAGTAAACTAAACGGGTAAATTTACAAAAGTAGACAGAAGGTAAAGAGTTTAAGGCATGTTCATTCTCATAGATCTGACAGGCAACAGTAGCTTCTATAGAAATAGGTAGAAAATTTGTCTATTAGTATTTGGAAGGCATATTTTCAACACTGCAATGTGAAGCTTCATTTATACATTGTAATGATTCTTTTGCAAGCACACTTAAAAGCCTTTGCAGATAGAATGTCAAGATTTGATTATAAAGTGACCTAGGGAATTTAGGAAAAAATTATTTTAAAAAATGTTTTGATGCCATTTTATACTTTTACACTTTTGATTGGGATAGTGTTTCAACTGTTCTTCTAAAAATAAGCCCTTGGTTTCACACATTTTACAAATGTTATTTGCTACTTGTAAAGGGAGTCTAGCTTCCATTGACCTGTGCCTAAGTTTCTTATGAGAAGCTTATACTTTAAAATTTATCATATAACTGAAAATGCTCCACTAATGGTCTTATATAAGTAGGAAACCATTTTGAAGAGCCTGTCAGGTTTTGAAACATGAATATAACTGAACAGTACATTAAGCATTGACAAGGGATTCTGGAGAGTAGATAAACTTCAGGTTACTAGAAAGGCAGGCAGTAAGAATATATAAAGAATATTTCCTATGCATTTTAAAATCCTTATGACTGAATGTACTAGAGTCTGTATAAAATGATAATAGATGTTTGCCAAGGAATTATGCAAAATGTTTCCTAAGTAATCATGTGGAATGTCAAAATATAAGTCCAAGCTATCTTGTGGGCTATTCATAATTTCAGACTATTAGGGCAATTTAAAAGTGAATAGCTGCTGATTCACTGGATTAATGAATTAGTGTAAAAAATGTACTGGCACTTTTCCCTCCTTTTTTATGTCAAGATCATAATCCAAATCTGAGAGAAAAGACAGGTATAGGGAATATAAGCTTTACAACTGTAGAAAAGTTATTGCTACTTCTGCCTAAAGGGCCAGACTAGCCCTTCTTAAAATTGTAGATTGCTACCCATTAGAAAGTCATAAAAGTCAATTCATTGGGTCAGAAGCAGCACTTTGACAATGAAATACAATTTTAAAGAAATGCCAGAATACTGCAGATAGTAAAGGTGCACTAAGGGTGCATTTTCATGAAAGTACTTATGTTACAGGGATCACGCTTTATTTTTTTAAAAACAATTTTTGTATCATGGATCATGATAAAAAGTTTTGAAAACTGCTGCCACAATCTTGGGAAAACTAGAGACACAAATTTTAAAACCAAAGGATAAGACCACATTGGAGCCTAAGGTTAAGAATGAGCAAATACACACACACTTCCTCAGACTTCCTGAATGTTTTCTGAGCTCAAGTGGTACCCCTATTTCCTCCAATCTTCTCACCTATCTCTTCAGTGCCATAGTAATTTTGTTCATGCTTGTCTTCTCAGGACACAGCTATTTACTCTGATCAAAAGGGGGAAAACAATTCTATACCTTCTAGCTATAATTCAGATATAGTATCTATAAATGAGGCTAAACAGGGAAAAGACCTACATGCTACAGTTTCTTAGTTCCTAATGTATGAATTCTAAATCTATTTTCATTCCGTTTTTAAAAAATTATCTTGGCCAGGCGTGGTGGCTCACGCCTGTAATCCTAGCACTCTGGGAGGCCGAGGCAGGCGGATTGCTCGAGGTCAGGAGTTCGAAACTAGCCTGAGCAAGAGCGAGACCCCGTCTCTACTATAAATAGAAAGAAATTAATTGGCCAACTAATATATATAGAAAAAATTAACCGGGCATGGTGGTATATGCCTGTAGTCCCAGCTACTTGGGAGGCTGAGGCAGCAGGATTGCTTGAGCCCAGGAGTTTGAGGTTGCTGTGAGCTAGGCTGACGCCACGACACTCACTTTAGCCTGGGCAACAACGTGAGACTCTGTCTCAAAAAAAAAAAAAAAAAAAAAAAAAAATTATCTTATGAAGACATAACATTTAAGATAAAAAAAATCAGCTAGATAAATGGGTCAAAAAAAAAAGATAAAAAGAAACAGTTTGTGCCCCAAACTTCTGTGAAGATTAACTATCCATTTATAAATTGACATAAAAACCTTTTGATATTACTACAAATTGATAGTTATTAGAATAAAAACTCAGCAGTAAATTACTTTATTTGGTGATTTGGCTTATTAGGCTTTATTTCTATAAAGCACATATTGCTTCTGTTTATATTAATCACTGAGCTCTTATTGGAAAGTAATGCTTTTATTTTCAGTTTAATATTTTAACATTTTTTTTAACTGCAATTAGACAAAAAATGAGATTTTCTTCATAAAGTTTAACAAGTATTTTACTTTTAAAATGTATTAACTGGTTAATGGACAGTATTTTAATCTGGCATATTAAATTTCAAACTTTAACATTTGGCAAAACTTGGCTTCATAAATTTACTTTTTTAGGATAATAGGAAATATATACAATTTAGAATCTATATTTAGACAAATGCCCTTTCCTTTCCTCAACATAAAACCTTTAAAAAGTGCAAGTATAAAAGTTTCAGCTTTGAAGGCACTGTATAACCTGCATTATATTGCTGTCTTGCTGAGCAAGAATAATGAAAATATTCTACCCTTAATTTAATTGATCATAAGAAACTTTTTGAGGAAGGACCTAGCTCTCAAAAAGAACCTTTTAGCCCATCTAGTTAATGAATTGCTGTCCAACACTGCTTTTCAAAAACTTATATGGAAAAGCTATCTAGAAAATGTTAACCACAGATACATTTGATCTCATTCTTCATGTCAGAGAAGATGGAGAAGAGTGGTACAGGTGTGAAAATATACATATTTCTAAAATAGTAACTACTACAATAAAGTTAAATATACCTTTCTAAATCCAATGTTTTTGTATACTCTTTTTATATCCTGCCAACAAGTGATCAGAAGAATTTTAAAGAGTTTATTATATTTGTATTTTTATAAATCTAATAGACAAATTTGAGTTATTATAATCTTCTGTTCTTCAATTTAGGGAGTCTGTATTTGTTCTTGATATTGTATTTGGTCTTGAATTCAATGGGTAGTAACAATGTATGATTCAAGAAGTGCTCAGATGTCCTAAACTCTGTTATAAAAACAAAAACCATAGCCAGGTTTTATAAACAATTAGCCACATTTGTTATTATCTTAGAAAACAAACCAAATGTTGTCCAACATTATGTGAACTGTAATAGTAGCCATGAGAGGCTTCAGGGTGACCTGGAAAATAAAATCCTAAAGTTCTTGGTAGCATATAGTTAATTTCAAATCCCCTTTTAAAGGCCATACCAAAAAAGAATAGAAATTTACCCCTTAAATTAAACCACACTGTGTTTTCATAGGAAGAACTATTTTAGTTGAAGTGAACTTCGTTCTTTCAAAGGCCAGTAAAATAGTGGTCCAAAGATTACTGTCCAAGAGGCTAACATATCTTGACAGCCTGGTCCAATGATTCATATTTTTCTTTGTAAGTGCTTTAATTACATGTAAAGGAGAAGAAAATAATATATATGCTTTAATTAGAGTAGTTTCAGGACAAATAAAATAACACATTAGAGAAAAAAATTACTTAAAAATAGTTGTATTTATATTCCACAATTTGTTCAAATACTGGTTTTCTTATAAACTTTCTACAGGATGTTTTAAAACAAATTCTTCACATTGTATCTTGACTATGTACTTACGGAATTTCAGGGAAATAGTTCTGTGTTTTTAATAGCTTAATTTGTACTAAAGGGATGGCAGGTGGTCACATGCAGTCCATGTGGGATTCTAACATGACATTTAGTGAGTTTTCTGATGTAGACCATCCCTTTGACGCTGAAGGTAATGCATCTGTTGAAAGAAGTGACTGTAGATTTGGATTACTGCTCTCTGCATCTTCCAGTTTTTCTGTGTTATCTTCCCAATTAATGTGGAATCTTGTGACCCTGGGATTAGATGCCAAAATGTTCCTTTGAAGCTAGAGGAGGAAGAAAATATGGTAAACATTAATAAAGTTAGATCACCATATGCATATAGGAGCTTAATAAATGGTTCTAGTTAGTACTCCTGAAGGGCTAAGTTCATATACAAAGTGTAAGTCAAATAAAGAAAGCACCTTAAATATAATATAAACAAATAAGGACTAGGGCCATGGCAAAGAGATTACTTTAGGTGAATGGAAACATATGGAGAATCTGAGATGATACACATCCAGGTCTTTTACTATTCAACAAAATACCTTCTCTATACTTCTGTTTTCTAAAGGGGAGACAATCTTTTCTTTTTTTGAAGATGAATGCTTCAGAAAATGCTTCATTTGACAAACTGAGTCTCTTCAGATTGCTGTCTTTTTAAGGAAAATGAAAAATTTCCTCACATAAAACCTCATTATTAATGGTTTTAAAGAAGGCTTTTAAAGATGTTTCCCTCATAGAAACAGTATTCTAGTTTATTATATTTTCTGCTATACAAGGTGCCATACAGGAAACTAATAAACTGGATCAATGGAAGGTCCTACAACCAGGATGAAAAATATTCCATCCTTATTATCAGAAAGGAGAACATTCTATTCTGTTGCCCAGTAATTTTTCTTGCATGGTCTAAGAGATAGTGTGTCATGTTCAACTTCCTTTACTTTGCATCCTCACAAGATCCCCAATTA